TTCACTAATTACATCCATGAAATTACCACGAAATATAAATTGAACTTATGTGAGAGAAGGGTTGGGAATGTGTGAGTTACACACATGTGTGTTTTTCTTGAATGGTTGACACATTTTGACTCGTTATAATCCCTAATGTGTTCTATGTTTGGAGTTGGGTAAATAAACAATTTTGGGGGGATACATATGTCAAATATGTCGACATTTATGGGAATATTTTTTTTTTCAGAATAAATGTCATACAAAAAAATTGAATGTAAAACATTTTTTTCGGGCCTATCTGAATGGGAAGAAATGGAATTCAGTATGTCTCGTTACTTTTTGTAGTGCACACGAAAAAAATTTTGAAATCCAATCCCATTATTTCATGAAAATTGAAGGATATACAAGAATCTTCTACAGTGTGACTCCTCCAAGTAAGAGATATCTTCCATCTTTCTTGTTTTTTTTTTCAGAAAATTTTCGGTTGATTAATTTATAAAAATTCTTTTCGTAAAAAATCAACAAATGCATTTCTTTTATCACTTTATTGTAGATATAAATATACAGCGTGCACTGTTGAAAAAATTTAACTGAATTTTCCAGAAAATGACACTGAATTCAATTTAACGGAAAAAAGTCTATGAAACTTCAAGTTTCCCTGAAAATTCAAGGAAATTCCGGATTTTTCACTGAAAGAACCATGAAGATGCCGAAATTTCTATGAATTTTCAATGTAAACATGATAATTCAATAAGAAATTGCTTTGAAATTTCAAAAAATTGAAAATTCAAGGACATTTTTGCTTGAATTTTCCTAATTTCCATTAATTTTCATGGAATAATTCAACTGAAATTAAAAATTTCCATGAATTTTCCACGAAAACCACGAATTTTCAATGGTAAAATTCCCTGAAATTTCAATGAAACCGTTACTTGTTTCATATTTCAAGACTAAACCCTGGAAACTTCAGTGGAAATTTTTTAACAGTGTGTCCCAAAGTCATCGTACTTATCGTAGGGGAAGCTTTGGAGTATTTGGAGAAGAAAAATCTAATGAATTTCTTATCTCCGACATTTTGTTTATTAGTTATTAAGAAAAAAAAAGTCAATTAAACGCTATTCTCTGATAGAAAAATCATATCCCCTTTCCCGTTTAAGGTGGAAGGGTGATGACATTAAATGTCTAATCGATTTGAATTAGTTCCATCCCTCGATATTGAATGAGTGTGGAGATATCAATTTTTTACGTTGACATCGATTTTTAGGGTCACATTGCGTGTAGGAACCAAATAGGTCTTATGCTGCGGTGAAATTTGTTCCGAGAATTTCCTCCCCCGAGCATGACGATAGAAGAACACTTTTCTTTCTGATTATTGTGCATTAAATGCCCAATCGATTGCCATCATTTTTATTCCTCCAGCCCAAGTGAGAGAGGTGATAAACGTTTTCAAAAAGACGATGATTTGCAGTGAATTCTTGCTTTGTTGATGAATAACTCGTTAACAAAGCGCCGGAAACAAAAATTGTAGTAGACTACAATTATCTATAAATAATTCCTGGAAGCTACCCTCACGATATATACGATGAGTTTTGGAACACCCTGTATATCAGAAGGAGAAAAAGAATTTTAATGAAAAACTCCCTTCGAGGTCTTCAACAACACGTAGGGAAATTCCGAGAGGCTACTCAATTCCTAATTGAATGACACCATGATTTCGAAATAAAGTCGATTTCGGGTCGTTTGAGCGGGGATTTCAGTGATTTCGGAAAAAATGATTTCGGTGATTTCGGGCGTCACGTGAGGTGATTTCACGATTTCGAATGATTTCATTAATTCGAAATCAGTGATCTCCAAAAAATAAAGTTGATAAATAATAGCGGCAGTGCAAAAAGGGCCGCGTGAAATTATGAAAATCAAAACTGGCAATAATAACAGGCAAATATTAACGCATTCGTTTGATTCCACTCCGCCAGTCTTGAGCTGATGACGATGAACAGCGGTCCATTTTACCATTTTACTATGGCAGTAAGTACGGCATTTTATTATCATCGTTGACAGGCGTGTTAATTCCAAAATCACGAATTACTTGGACGGTTCGCATTACGCCAGTGTGCCACTGATTTTAAAAATTTATTTAAAAAATTTATAATATGGCTCAATTCCATATATTTTTCAAATTTATAAAGAATATATAAAAAATATATGTAAAACATATATTTCATATATTTTTTTTTTGCATATAAATTGGCCCAATTCAAGATATTTTTAAATATATTTTTCAAAATATAAATGTTTCCGTGTGGGTTCAGAGATGATGTCAAAAACGATTTCGGAGAGATGAAATCACTCAATTTCAGTGATTTCACATGATTTTGGAAGGATTTCATGCCAGAGTGGCGCCTTGATTTCGGAAGTGAGGAGCCCCTCGGGAAATTCTTTTAAAAAAACTAGTCCTAGCACGGAAAAAAGGGCGCAAAGTGATGGCCAGGGAAAAATTCTAGTGCCGGCACTAGAAATTCTATTGAGTAGAGTTCTTATACGAAATTTTCAGTAGTAGTACCCCAAGAGCTTCAAAATTATTGGCTATTACAGGGAAAGACCCGATTAATTTTGACGCTCGAGAGGTATTTATTGGATTGGAGCAGAACTAAAAAGGATTTGAACAAATTGTGTTAATAGAATAACCCGATTTCTGTAGACTGTCAAATAGAAGTTTCGATCTGAAATGAACCGAAAAAATGAAGAGCTGCTGCGAAATATTCAAAACCTAGGAGGAAATATCCCAAATAAAACTGTCGGGTAAAACTGCCTCCAAAACTGCGCTTTGATTAGGCGAAATCTGATTGGGAAAAATAATCACAGAAATCCCCAGAAATTTTAACAGCACTAGAATTTTTCATGGCCGGTAGATGGGGATTTTTCCAATACGAGTACTAGAATTTTTCTACAGAATTTCTCTCCGTGAAATGCATAAAAAGTTTCATCCATCGGAGAATTTTAATATATCAGATTCATAGTACCATAAATTTAGAATACCATAGATTTTTTAATAGTGTGTATAATTGTATATCAACGGATGAAATTTATCCTTCGTGTTATTCAACCTCTGGGTGAAAATAAACGAAAAAATTCCGGAAACCTACATCTGTCACACCCTCATCATTTATGCAAATGTCAGCTCTCACCAAAGGAGTTCAAAGAATGGAATTCATGTTTCAATGTGAAAGAATTCAAAAAATGAATTCAAAATATCAAATGTCTCATCATCAATTGAATGGAGTTCACCTTTTCATGTGTTCTCCTCCTTCGAGAGTAACAAAACAAATTCAACGAAAATTCATCTCTAGAAGCTTTTAGACCCTTGAAATATCCAAAAATTTCCATCTCGTAACAAAGCCTATGCAACATTCATCCATAAACGAATCCAACTAATTAATCTTCCTTTCCCCTTAGTCCCCAAAGCATTTCTCAAGATTTTCTCAACCTCAAAAATCTTTCAACAAATAAATTAAACGAGTGGATGAATGCGTATGTCTATACCATAGCATACACGGAGAGAAAAGTTGGATAAAAATGAAGAAAAATTGAGAGAAAAGTTGGATAAAAACGACAGAATGTCGTGGGCAGAAAAATCAGAAAAAAATTGAAAATTGTGAATTCAAGTGTCTCGAAAATTATAGTAATTTTTGAAATAATTTATAGAGGAGAATGGGGCAAAATGAAATAGTCGAACAACGACAGTTTGACGCAATTCAAGCAAAAATATTTTTTGTTGTTAAATATTTTTTTTATCAACTTTTGTTTATTAACTTTTTTTTATTCTTGAGAGTCCTAATGAGAATAATAATTTTCCATTCAGTAGAATGAAAAACTATTAAGAAGTTTTGACGGGAGAAGATTTTGTCAATGGATTAATTGAAAATAAAATGAGACAGCAAAATTCGAAGTCCGGAGGAAGACTCAGGGGGAGACCCAGAGAGAGAAAAAGGAAAATGTGATGCTGAATCTCAATCGAATGAAAAAAGAAAAGTGTAATCGGCCTAATCTAATCAATTGAATTATAAAACGAATACAAAATTATTATTCTCATCAGTACTCCCAATAATAAAGTTTGCACTTTTCCCTGGAGGTCTGGCACTTTTCCCCGATATAGGGTGAAAGAGTATTGAAAATCGAGTTCCTTCCGCGATTACTCAACTTGTTCGGTAATTTTTCTCCACCTTTTTTCTCCGTGCATTTATTTTTGCTAATCAGTTAGTAATAATATGCTACCAAATGGACATTTTACACATAATTTTCCTATAGTATATTATAACATTAATCGTCTCATATTATAATATTAATCAATTTTGTTAGATTTTTAAGATATTCACAACTATCACGAAAAATAATATTGAAGGAACTTTTTTCATGCATAAGTAAATCAATTTGAAATATCATATTCAAAAATATTATTGGGGAACAATTTTGAAAAAACGCTCAATTTTCGAATACCATTCTATGAATCGAAATTACGAATCGAACTCGATCAAAAGAACATCCAAGAAATTTCTGAATCCACAATTGAATGAAATCAAAAAATTTTTTTTGTCTTCGTCGCACAACCGATTTTTCATTGTGAAAAATTCATACATGAATTGCGTTTTGATTCTAAAGTAGCATTTTCGGACTTTGAAGATCATAATTGATTGCTACAGCTCAAGAAACTAGAAACTTCCTAGAAATTTCCTAGAAACTCTTTGAATTCTCTCGAATTTTTTAAAAACTCCTTGAATTCCTTCGAATTTTCTAGAAACTCCTTGAATTTTTTCCAAATATCAAGAAACTTGTCAAATTACCTCGAAATACCTTGAATTTTCTAGAATTCCGATAGATGGCGTTGCACATAAGAACCGTTTCCCAAAATGACCCCCCATATTAAAACCATAGACGTATCCACGTCAAAAAATTTAAATTTGCCCGATGACAAAGCTTCCATTCGTAAGCAAAATAAAACCAATTGAAAGTAAAGCACTCACCCTATCCCCCGCCTCATTAACAAAGCAGATCTGTTCAGTGATATCATCAAACTTCTGGATCCACCCAGGAGGCAGATCGATAGCGCACTCGTAGCCCTCCTCGCCACCCCGATGTACAGGACTCGGCTGTGACGACCCTTCAAAAGCAGCAGTGACCTCCGACTCCGATTGGCTCTGCAGTGCCTCCGAGCTGGCATTGGAGCTGAGAACCTGCTCATCAGATCCACTCTCCCTGATCTTTCCCTCGCCCCCCTCCCTCCTCGCCCCCACATCACTCATCTTCCTGTTAGCCCTGCCCCCTCGACTGTCATCCAGACCATCAGTACTGGACAACAACTCCTTCGACTGCAAACAATTATCAGATCCACTGTCAGACGTACACAGAAGCGTCTTAAACCCAACGGCAGTGCTAGATTCGATGTTAATATCCCCAGGTCCAATCTTAGCATTTCTGAAGACATCAGTCCTGGGCACCCACACGTCATCCTCAGAGAACACCTCCTCGCGCTTATGAATCCTCCTCGGCAAAGGCATAACCTTCCCCTCGATCTTATCCAACGTGGCAGGCAACTTGGTCCTCGGAAGAGGCACAGGCTTGCTGACAGTCTCCTTCTTGGGGCTGAACACCTCCGGAGGATCATCCTCATCCTCCTCCAGGCAGTGCAAGTCCCCCAAGCTTCGACTCCTCCGTTTATTCGACATCGCTGCCAACGAACTGATATCACTCTCCCTCCTGAACCGACGATAGGCGTCAGGTATCGTTGCACAGCACATCGTCGAGCTCTTCTTCAATCCCCTCTTCCAACTCTCCTCGTCATCGTCGTCAGAGTCCTCCTCCCTTCGTCGAAAATACTTGCCCTCTCGTTTCGTCTTAAAGCTCCCTGTGTACTCAAGCTTATGCCTGAATTTAGCGTAATCCTTGGTCGGCTCTGGGGGATCCAGTCGACTCCACGAGTCGTCAGACTTGTCAACACCCTCCTGTATTCCACTGTCATCGTAATGGCCCTCGTCACTCAAACTCTCACTCATCTTAGTCTCACCAATTTCACTAGTCCGTTTAGCTGGCTGAAACTTAATCTCACTCGCCAATTTCTCCAACGATGGTGTCAACTTCAATTCACTGCTAGTGTCCATCGGTTTTATCTTCAATTTTGGCCGCATTCTCACTTTCTCGGGGTTCTGGGGCTTGATGTTCGAGTAACATGGTTTCTCGATGGCGTCAGAACTCGAGTGGATCGGCTCTGGGTAGTGACTCGACACAGGCTTATCTCGAGATAACGATCGAGCGTCATCGAGCAACTCATCGGGGGAAACGTCGTTGAGAATGTTCGCCTCATTGTACTCGTCCAGTATCTTTGGGGACTTTGGCGAACGCAATGGCTTCGTCGAGATTATGGCGTCGGTTTTCTTGAAGGTGAATGCGGATTTTGGGGACTTTTTGCGGTGTCTAGAGGGTTTTGATTGTGAGTTCTCGGTGGAGATGTCTGATGTCTCGGATATGTTGGAGGTTTCGTCGTCCTCGAGGGGAGCAGTGAGTTTGTGCTCGGGACTGTTCTCCTCTGAGTTTATGGAGATCTTGCAGATGTTCATGGGGGAGCTGGACTTGAAGTCACCTGGGGTCGTTGGTGTGTGACCCTCGGACTTGAGAAGATTCATCTCGTGGAGCTCTTGGGTCAGTTTGTCGAGGGGATCGAAACTCTTTATCTCTGTACTTTTAATCTGAATGCTTGGTTTCTTGTTGCTTCCTCTCTCTTTGCACATTTGAGTTAGCTCTGACATGAGCTCCTCCACAGCCCAAGTTCTTCGTTTATCGTTGAGAATCCTGTGATCGTCCTCGTCGTTATCAGAGGGTATCTGTCCAGCTATCGTCAGCTGTCTTCCATACGTGGGCTTCGGGCTCAGGCTCCTCTCGGTCCTCTGGAACTGGTGTGCTTCCAGCTCCAGACTTCTGCTGTTCCTGTTTTTGCTGATGGGTTCCTCCAGATTGTGGGGCTTTTCGAATTTCCTACGATCGAATTTGTCGTCGTAATCGCTGTCTATCTGGGAGTCGTCTGATCGAGATGATCGAGTTCGAATTCTTCGGTTTTTTGTTTCCTCTTTGTTTTGGTTTATTAGTTTGTCGAAGTCTGTGTTGTCGGAGATTTTACGCCGACGGTCGAGAGAACTCTTGAGTTCCTTTCGGAAAGGGTCCTGAAGGGACATCTCCATCCTGGAGGGAATGTCAAAGGATTTTGGGCTTGTTGAGAAACTTTTTGTCAGTGGTTTTGGGGAAGCGCTCTCTTCTGGAAGTTTTGTCAGAGCTTCTTTGGACTGTTTTCGCTCCTTCGTGGATTCTTTGGATGTTTCGTCGAAACTCTGCCCGTATTTTCTATCGCGCTCGAGGGATTTTGATTTTATAGCTGCTAAACCGACCTTTAGCTCAGCACGGGACTGGTAATCCATAGCGTTGTGCTTGTATGAGTCGTCTATGAAGGAATGCTTGGAGGATTCTTGTTTAGTATCCATTGCGTTCACCAGCCATTTTTTAACGTTCTTCATGGCACTTGAGTGACTCTCCTTCGGCATACTCTTGTATTTCGGGTGGTCTGGCGGCTCAAAGGTGCCGTCCCGTTCCTCGTCCGAGTTCTTGCGGGAGGTCTTCGATATTTCCCGGACGTAAGTCGCAGGAACGTAGAAGGAGCGCTGCTCCCAGGTTCGCACCACCTGCCACCAGTCGGCGTTTGTCTTCTGTAGAAGGTAGAGACGCTCATTTTTCTTTATGGCGATCTCACGACCTTCGGCGGTTTTGTACTGAAAGTCGTAGAGCACCTTCACGTAAGAGTGCTCTTGAAGGTCTTGGCCACTCATGGCAGAGTATGGTTACATGATTTTTTGAGTATCAGTGCCACTGGAATGAAAAGAGGGGAATTAGTGTGGGGTTGTTTGAAATTGCACTGTTAGAAAAAAAGTGAAATTTCATGGACAGTTGACTACTAATTTTCAGGACAGTGACACTAAATGCGATTTAGGGGAAGAAATCATGAAATTTGAGGTTTCACTGAAAGTTCAGTAAAATTCCAGAATTTTAAACACCATAAAGACAAGAATTACTTAATTTATTTGAATTTCCAATCTGATATGAATATTCAGTGCCAAATTACATTGAATTGTCAGTGAAATCTGAAATTTTAAGATTTTTTTCACCCTAAATCGTATTCAGTGTCACTTTCTTGAAAATTCAAGAATATATTTACCGTAAATTCATGGGTTTCTATTTATTTTCAGGGAGGGAAAAATGGAACTGAAATTTACAGTTCTCTTTGATTTTTCCATGAAATTCTGAATTTTAAATGACGAAAAAACAAGTGGATAATTGCATTTTCTGTGAATGAGTATAGTTTTTGGTACTCATAAAGCAGCATTTTGCTTCTGAATGGATTCTCTGTTTTCGAATTCCTATTTACTCTTCTCTTCTTCTTCATTCATGTCACAGTACTATCATAAATTGAAATGCCATGAAAATTTTTGTGTATTATTTTGTGGGTTCCCCCCCCCATGTACCGCATTCGCCGAAGGACAAGGGAAAACCTCATTGTTGAGGGGAAAAATTGCCTAGGTACAGTCGTCTCTTGCGAAACTCCCATTCGACAATGAAACCGTGAGATTTAGTGTCATAAATTCCTAATTTGCGAATTAATTCATTCTTTCAAATGATCAAGGATTCAGACACTCTGAAGGTATATCCCTAGAAAACACGTTTTTCTCAAGATTGTCCCCATGTTTTGCATAGACAATGATTATAATACTCCCAGCTATTGAAAAAAAATGCTAACTAGCTGTAATTCACAAAAATCAACAAAACCATTGATTTCATCGATGGATTTTGTTTCTTTTGGACATTTTTTGAATACTTTTAGATTTTAGCTTGCAAAGAACGCATCGCACATTCGTAGACTTGAATTGTACAACGCGCAATTCGAAGTGTGCATTGCACGGCGAAGAAAAAAATTTTTGGCTAAAACATTAAAAAAAAACGAGTAAATATCCATTTACTCGAGCGAAGTATTCATTTTTTCAATATCGTATTTCTCCAGTCGACTCATTCCGAGACAATCCTCATTAGGTTTCAATTATGACAATTATATTGCTCTAGAAAATGATCATGTTAGTTATGACCTAGAGTGAACTCCCTCAATAATTATCAACATTAAAAAATTAATTGAAATTCTTCCTTCTAGAAAATAAGAAGTTTATGAAAAATGAATAATCATTGGAGGTAAAAATGAATAATCATCCAAGGTTATATGCAATACAGTCATCCTCTAGAGCGATATGATTGTCACAATTGAAACTTAAGCAGGCTCGCCTTGGAATGACTCCATTGGAGGAATATGATTTTGAAAAATTAAATACTTCTCTCAAGTAAACGAATATTGGGCAAAAATATATTTTTTTTTCAGTGCAACATTTAAATTTCAATCAAAAACAGCCAGCGGACAAACCCATCGTGAATTATGACGTGTGTCGTACCCTACACTGAGAGAAAAACAAACACGTTGTCAAACAAGTCTTATTTGGGCCAACAAAATCGCTAGTTGGAAATTGCCAACAAAGAATTTGTTTGGTTCGAATTTAAAAGTCTTAAACATGAATAATTGTTCTGCTTCCGACAGCAACGAAATATTTGGCTCAAGAGGCAGATAATTCACACCAGACGGTGCCTTTTCGGGATGAAAATATCTTGTATAGAGGAAAATTTATCAATAAATATTTTATCCCTAAGTTACAAGATTGTTATCATATCATTATTATTGTTTCATTTAAGGGTTTATTTCTTGGCTGTGATTATTAGACAGCCGAAACGAAAAACTACTATCCCTTGTTCCGCATAAAACAAAGATTTTTCGGGAGTCAAATACGTATGGGAGTATCGAATAACGAAGGAGTAGTGCTAGAAATGACATTTCTTGCGTGTACAGAGAATGCAATTTTTATGAACTACTAAATCTATTTTTGTGACAAAAATTTTTCATTCCGGCGCACTCTCTGCATGTTTGGCACAAAAAAATCCTTTTTTGATCATTTTCAAAGAACTATTTTCTTGGCACAAGTAAGACTTGTTTGACAACTTTGTCGTTTTTCTCTCAGTGTAAAGAGCGTTAATTGCGGGAATTCATTGTCCATAATAGATCATTTATCCAGGAAACTGCTAAGTCGGTGTTTAAGTATGGCATATCAACATTTTCAAAACGTAAATAACTTTCTATATAATCAATCATAGCAGAGAGGATTTCATTCAAGTCGGCGGAACTCATCTCATTCATTGTTTGCTCAATTATCTCTGTACTGACTACGGACGGAAAAAAATATCAAAAGGCCTTCTTTGTCGGGCAATTGATAAAGCGGGAAAAAAAGGTGATACCACATTTTTCTGACAGATAATTTCATTTAGCAATGATTGAAACGATTCACTCCTGCATAACTAATCTATCCAATTATTGATCTCCATAATGAGCGATATCGGAAAAGATCATCAACAAATATTGGTTATAAACGAAAAAAAAATTGCAAAAGGATCTCTTGACATTTTTCAGTAAAATCGGTCCCTAATCAGCGAAACGCTTCTATTCACGGAGAAATTTTCCAATTTCCAGAAGCAAGTTAATGATTGTCGAGAACTCAGTTTTGGAAGGCATTGCGTTGAGAACACAAAATTGTTTAATTAATTTCAGAATAAATCCTGAAATTTAAAAACGTGACCCATCTCACACTCTGGTCTTTTGTAGTTCAAATACAACGTATGCGCAAAATCGAAATGTAAAACTGTAAAAGGCGTAAAATCCATATAGAGGAAATTGGGGTAAAATAGACACTTCTGACTTTTTTTAACGCTAATGAGCGGTTGAAATGTGGATGAAACTTAATAATTTTCAATAGAAAGAACAATTCTTCTCCTTTCTGGTGAGCCTAAACTGAGCTGAATTGATAAATTTGTTTCTGAGTTATGAATAATTTAAAAAAAGTTTAGTGTACATTTTACCCCACCCTCCCCTTTTTAGAAATAAATTGAATCTCTCTCCTAAAATTCATTCCCAAAAACTTTATTTTAAGGATGTCCAAGTACTTTGATTACTTTTTCTCCAGTGAAATGCTTTTCTACTCTTGAAGTGGAACATTAGAGTTTTCATTTGAGAACCATTTGACCCTAAAGTTCGGGACACTTTACAATGATTTTATTATTTAAACTTTGCAGGTCTGACTTTGAATTTCGATATAGAACCGTTAGAAAACATTGAAAATATGTGAAAAAATAGAGAGTTTACTTTTGGAAAAAGATTGATAAAATAATTTCAAAATTGCAATTTTTGAAAATTATGAGCATTTCCTATAAATAATTTATAAAAAATCAATTTTCCACCAAAAAATTCATTTGTTTGGAATCGTAATAAATTCATTCATGTTCAGAATTTTATCAGAAATCGATTTCATACCTAAAAAAAAGGTTTCCGAAAGTTTAAAGAATTTCAATTATTTATTTACAAACAACGATTGTTGAAAAAGAATAATTCTGTGATAATAATTTTTTTCTATTTTTTCTCACTTAATTTAATTGACAAATTTTATGTTTGAAAATGAGTGAATCTATAGTGTGTTCTGTACCAACTAGTAAAAGATACTTGGATATCCCTAAGAAAAAACAATTTTTTAATCAAAAACCGTAGAGTGATTAAATTGTGGACTAATTGAATAATAATTGGGCCAAGGTTCCAGGTTATATACTTTGAATAACAAAGAATTTATGACCGTCATTAGATTAATTTTAAAACATATTAAATCATCAATTGAAAAACAACAATGTTCTTAATTGGAAAACTCATTAACTCATATTCTTGATTCAAGAACCGAAAAAAATGAATTCCAGAACCAAGATTTTCTTGAATTGAGCAAAATTTTAACTCAATTCAGGGATTGGCATCAATCATTAGATTATGAATATTAAGAAAAGTTTACCTTGAAATAACTCAGGTTTACTGATGTTCATTGAAATTTGAAAAATAATAAAATAATTGATAATCTAAATTTTCAATTGACTACTGATTGAATAATTCCAAATTTCGTAAAAGGATTTTCGATTAGCCAAATAATCGTCAATCATCCGAACTCAACTATTGATTGATAAAATAATACGGAATTTGAATATTTAATTGATGACTAATTTAATAATTGAAAAATTGTTGAGTAATATTAACCAATTGATTAATTCAAAATTCAACTTTATTTAAAATTTACGATTATGCCGGTGTCGGCCTCAATTTAAGTAGGGGAGGGTGGGGTAAAGTCGACACTTGACTTTTTTTCTCTAATGTCCCTGATTCAGGAACAAATTTATCAGCAGAAGTAAATCTAAGCCCATCACAGAGGGAAACAATTTTCTCTCCATGGAAAAAAAATGATTCCTTTTCATTGAAAATTGAATGAACTACTAACATTTCCAAAAACCTTTAAAGTGTCCATTGTGTCCCATTAGTCTCTCCAATTATACTAGATTCATGTAAAATTTGTAAATACGACTGATTTTAATGGCAAGCCAGTCTTTTTTCTCTGATTTTAGTCGAAAACTTTCTCGAAATAATTGAGAATTACCCTCATTTCCAGAATTTTATACTAGATTTCACTATACAGAGTTCTGAAATTCAGAGATTTTCACTGGAAACTAGAAACGTTTTGTTCTCTGCTCAACTCTAATTTTCACCACTCGAGCACTGAATCCCCTTAAAAGATCCAATCAATCATAATCTTCAACCAATAATCGTACAATTAATTTATCATAAATATTTAAAATTTACGATTATGCCCTTGTCTGCCCCAATTTAAGTGCAATTGTACTAAATTCACGTAAATATGACTGAGAATTAGAACGTTTTTCTTTGATTTTAATAGAAAATTTTCTCGAAAAGTGAGAATTTCCCTCATTTCCAGAATTTTTTGCTTACTCGATTTCTCTACACAGACTTCTGGGATTCAGAGATTCTCACTGGAAACTAGAGACGTTTTGTTCTCTGCTGAACTCTAATATTCACTACTCCAGCACTGAATCCCCTCAAAACATCCAATCAAACATAATCCTCAACCAATAATAGTCCCACCAATTTATCATAATCAATTTCCCACACTGAGCTTAATCCCGAACCCCCACAAAGCCCACTTATCAGCCTCTCACCTCGCGACCCCCAACACGGGAAGAATCTCAAAAAGTGACCACACCTTCTTTCAAAAACCGCCAACTATCGCAACAATTCCTCTCCTCCCCATCTCCCATCATTCTAATTTCATGCAATCTTGATAACAGCACTCATCTGTAAAAATCATCGACACAAAAAGTCCCAAGGAATCCCCAGCAAAACACTCTCCTCAGCAAAAAAAATCACACCAACAAAATCCCTCACAAACTCCGAGCCACAAAAACCCGATAAACTCCCGTTACCTCACAGATCAATTACTCACACGTACGATTAAAATGCAACGACTCGTCGGTGAAAACTCCGCAACTCAATTTGATATTTATTTACAAACATTGGAGTGAGTAACAACGTTAGAACCATATTTAAGGTTATGAATGAGGAAATGAGAAATGTTTTCACCACTAGATGACGTAATTAGTGCGAGTGAAAGGCGAATGAGATAATTACAATGACTTTTAGCGAAACACTTTGATTACTGCACTTGCTCAACTCAAGGTTAAATGATTTTTTATATTGGTAATTACATGTGTCCTTGAGATGTTCAACTCATCCCACAGTATTTTGCGTTATCGTCCATACGTTAACGAGACTGACAGCACCATCGTGCTTCCCCCCGTTTACGGTACAGGTGTATTGGTTTATTAAAACGTCAGCGTCGACCACTGCGCATGACGTCAGGTATTTACTCGTCAATAATGAGGCCCTGGGCTCTGCATTTTACATGTAATCCTTCAATAATGTCCCATTGACAGTAATTTTTTTACTATTAATTTTTTTTCTGTTCCAATTCTTGAGAAAAAAAAATCCCAAATTTTTTTTACATACAATTTTCCTCATAAGTTGCAAAAGAAAATAATGTAAGATATTTCATGCATCCCTGGGAGGGACACGTACCTGGAAAAGGTACTGTAGAGTTTATTATAGACTATAGATTTTTCAATTCACCTGCAGAGGAGAAAAAGCGAAACAGATTTGGTTTTGTTCCAGAGGGATTTAATTAATGTTATTGATTTTCCCTGACATTTGAATTCCTTTGGTTTGAAGTCTCCTTTTGTTTGCACTCTGCAATTTATTGTAAAATGCACTTGACATTCAGTACCTTGGGCTTTTTAATGGAAATTTGAGGGGAGATAGTTTCAGTGGATAGAGTGGATTCTATTGCTCTGCTGGCTTTTATTGAATTGGAATACAAATGAAGATTAAATGAGGATAAGTTTCGAATCAAGGTTGCATTTGTTATTCACATGCACACCGTGTTTTTATTTACATAATTGCGCATTGAGAGTGACATTTGGAGAATTTTGGGTATTTAATTTATGATTTTCCTAGGTTCCTAAGGCGGTGACGTACTCAGGCTGGTGCCTCATCATGTCTCGTACTTATGTTTGATGTCCTTCCATAATTTCTGAAACAAAAGATATTGAAATGAGATAACAACGACTCATTAATTTGATTGATTCACTTATTGTCTAACTTTCAGTATATTCGGCACTTTCACTATGTTTATTGCAGTAGAATGAAAGGGAGACAGTCAAAGTAATAGGAAAAAACACATTTGAAAAAATCAATGATTGTCCTTGTATTCATTATTTTTTCAAACGTAAAAAATCATTTCTAGAGAACAACTTCTGAGATGAGAGTTGGAACATCAAATAATAATGGGTTACCCTCTTCTTCGATGAGAGAAAAATATATGGGACATGAAATTGGAAAGGTACGCTGAGAAAAAAAATATTGTTGCCAAATATTCATTTACTTGAGAGAAGCATTTATTTTTCAAAATTGTATTTCTCCAATCGGATCATTCCCAGGCGAGCCTAATTAAATTTCAATTATGACAATCGTGTTGCTCTAGAGGATGACTATGTTGCACATGACCTTGGATGAACTCATCCAATGATTATTCATTTTTCCTAAATTTCTTATTTTCTACAGGGAAGAATTTCAATTAATTTTTTGATGTTGATAATTGCTGGGGGAGTTTACTCCAGGTCATAACTAACAGATTATCTTCTAGAGCAATACAATTATCATAATTAAAACCTAATTAGGATTGCCTGGGAATGACTCGACTGGAGAAATACGGTATTGAAAAAATTAATGCTTCTTTCAAGTAAATGGATATTTGGCAAAAATATATATTTTTCTCAGTGTATTGATTAGTTCCTGGAATCAAAATTCACTCATTGCATTCGAGTGTACTTTACGCCGTTTACGGAAAAGGAGAGAACAAGATGGAAATTCCATGACTTGAAGGATATTGAGATAATAATATTATTATAAGACTAATAATTAATATAAGAAAATTTTCAAGATGATGTAATCGCTAAATTCATTCTTGCATTGTGTCAATTTTCTTATTTATATTTTTTCAGGAGCAGAACTGGTCATTATGAGGGCATTCTCAGCAAATAAAATCCCTGGAATCAGGTTATACTGAACTTGGTGCTGTTAGTGTTTCTTAACTATGAAAGAATGCAGAGAATGTGAAGTTGGAGATGAATAAATAAATTATGATGAATCTTGATTATATGAAAAAATTGATTGAACAACCCATTTTTCTATCATCTCAGTAGCGAATTCGTCGAGTAGAATAGATCAATTGCATTTTTGGATGTTTAAGCAGTCATTCCAAATTTAATGACGGAAGTGGACGGATTTCTATAAGAGTTTCCAAAGAACGACGTGAGCCCTACAAAAATGGTATCTGCGAAAATACATCATTTCATCATTTCATTACTGATTCTAATTTACGACTGCTTTCATGCATTAGTAATAACTACTGAATAATTTTTTGTCTCATTAACGCTTTAGTCATTGAAGTGCAATCATTTGTGCATGGTTTTCAAATGGAAAAAGAATGCAGAAGAACTAAATCGATCGAAGAATTCATTCATAAGTGATAAAAAAATTCAGTATACTGATAGAAGGATTTAGTTGTTATTAACGAGGCTTTTGAACTATTAATGATTAGCGAATCGTGGTAATGTTTGAAAAGCCTCGTTAACAGCAACGATAATTAGATGCGGTTGATAAATCATTAATTAATTTTTTTTTAGAAAACCCGAGAATTCCTTCTTTCAGAGTTCTTTCGAATTCGCTGTGAAAGCAAAGAATTTTCTCGCACTTTCTATACAACCCGAGAATATCCGCTAACTTTGTAGAAATTCCAAAAAAATTTTCTCGACAACTTGAGAATATTCTACAATTTTCCAGAAAGTTCCAGCAAGCTCTAGAATTTTCTAGCAATTTATACGGTGCATACTAAACTGTGCACCGTAGCGCAAACTTATAGTTAACTTCCAGCTTAAAGCCGATTGGGGACCCTAAACTATATAATAGTAAAAGTACCATTGAAATGCATTCACTCATTTTTGCGCGAATCGCGGCCAAAAGATGGGCAGCAGATTTATTATATGTAAGAAGATTACAAATACTACTTTAAGGGCAGACTACTATGAGTTTTAAAAGTCGTGGGTTATTGGAGTGAGACTTTTCATACGTTGAAGATCGATTATATAGATCTGAAAACGAGTAATTAGTGCAAAAAAAAATTTTTTATTGTTCGTTTGCTCGAAAACGCTTAAAATGATAAAAACAAGCAGGGTCTCCAATTTTTGAGCTACAAAAGATTTTTTTTTTCAAAATTTTCGTAAAAATGTGTGGAACAACAATTACGAGCCAGTTATTTGGACTTCGATTCCTACAGAGTTGATTTCGGTTTTTTTCATATAAAAAAATTCACTATTTGTGTAAAAAAATACAAACAAAGCAAATTTAGCCATGTAAGAGGCGAATTAAAAAAAAAAGTTCGTAATTGTTATTCCACATAATTTTCCGAAAATTTGGAAGAAAAAAAATCCTTCGTAGCTCAAAAATTGGAGGCCCTGAGCTGTTTTTGTCATTTTAAGCGTTTTCGGGCAAACGAAGAATAAAACTTTTTTTTTTATACTAATTATTCGTTTTCACATCTACATAATCGATCTTCAGCATATAAAAAGTTTCACTCCAATAACCCACGACTTTTAAAACTCATAGTAGGGGAGGTTGGGGTAAAATGAACACTTTTGACTTTTTTAAAAATATTAGTGACGGGTTGAAATGGTGATGAAATTTAATCTTTTTTTTTTTCAATACAAAGAACAATTCTTTCCCTTTATTGTGATGAGCATAAATTGAGCTCAACTCATAAATTTGGTTCTGAGTTATGAGTATTTTTAAAAAAGTCTAGTGTCCATTTTACCCTACCCTCCCCTAGTTTCCCCTTAAAAAAACAACTTTCTCAAAAGACTCGGTACTATTTGGTCCATCTAAATTAATCACTACCAATAATACTAGACTGTCGATGAGCACGAACTCAACCAGAGTGTTTCCGTTCATATAAACTCCGAATGTCCTGTCCATTCATTTCAGATTTAAATTTTCAAAATTTCAGTCATGTTCACTACACTTCTACACTACTTTGATCTTGTGTTACCCCTCCGCAGCAGAACCCATTATCGATTCAAAATAACCTAAACAATCTCCACACAAACACTCCCACCCCCGACTCCTGTCGCCCCCAAAAAACACCGCCCAACGAAAAATAAAACTACCCAAAATTCAGAAACAAAAATCAATCTGAAAATGACTTACGCCTTTATTGTAACTCTCAAAAATCGTATCACTGGCAACATCGATTGCTCTCTCAAAGAAGAAAGAGCCTCCAACGATGGCAAGCATGAACGTCGACGTTCGCTTGAAGATCGCGTTGTAAAAGAAACTCTGGATCGACATGTTTCACCCTAAACAAATCAATTACCAAATTACCTCGTCTACCAAAATTAATCCACAACGATTTTTTATTTTATGAAAAATACCTCCTTACTACTCCTTACGTAAACTCGTGGAGTGTCAGTGTGTCTATTTCACCGACAAGATCGATAACTCAACACTAGCGCCACCCGATCCTCAGAAATTACCCGAAAATCCCTATTTCATCGACATTAGAGGGACTCACTCAGCTGAAACCCCTTCTCTCTCTCCTTTGTTTATAAATTTTCACGATAATTACGCGTTTTAGGCGCGAAAAACATTACACATGGCGACATAACCTTGGATGAAGACGATTGAACACAAAAATGGAAAAGAAACGTTTATCCTCATCAAAGGTAATTATTTTCTCATTTAATTCTCCTGCCCAATATTTTCTCCACTATTTATTTTTGGTGTTCAGCCATCGAAAGAGACTCTCAAACCGAAATCCAACGTGAACGACAGTCCCTCGGTCAACAGAACGGAGAAACGCCCGAGAGAATCAGATTGTGATACGAAATCTCCTTTAAAAATGAGGAAAACAATTCCTAATGATTCTGCCAGTGAATACAACAATATTATTGATCTGACTTTTGACTCTGATGAGAGTTTCAGTGGGTCGAAATCTCCGATTGAAGTGGTTGGGGACAAGGAGAATTCTCCGAAGAAGAACAAAGCCTCGGTGACCTTGAAAAGTGTCTGTGAGGCTGAGAAAACTGGAGACAGTGAGAAGATTATTCAAGAAGAGGGAAAGGGTCTTGAGAGACAGGACTCTTCTTGGATCGATGATGTTTTCGCACAATTTTCTGACTTTGAGGAGGAGAATGAGGAGGGCTCCGAGCAGACGACGAAGGGGTCTCAGATGAGTCAAATACTGCAAAGTGGGGACTCTGGATTGCAGTCGTTGGGACCCACTCAGAAATCGAATAGTCATGATAAGGGGGAAGGGAGGGAGAAGGAGGTTGATTATGGTGGAAAGGAGGTGGAGGAGAACTATCATGATGAGATTGATGAGCTATTTGATGATGACTGGGACCTGCAGAGCAAGTTCTGTCTGGATCTTTCCGATTTTACGAGGTGCACGATTATTGAAATTGAGAGGAAGAGAATGTGCCTTCATGTCACTGTTGCTGATCCAACACCAGAGTCCAATGCCACTGCACTGGTTATCTGCTCGGGTAGCTGGTAAGATTGAATTGTTTTTTATGGAATTGATTGCAGGATTTATATGATTTCGGAATTAATTTATTGGGTGATCCGTTTGGAGATTTTTTACTTTTGGAAATGCCTAGAAATGTCATGAAATATGCAGAATTATGTTTTTAAAAAAAGTCTGCATGTGTGCATAAAAAAAAAAGATTTTAATTTGATACGATCTCAAAATGAGACTTATGGAAGTCTCAACTTGCGACATTCGAAAATTTTGAAAATCTTAATTTGAGACTCGAAAATCTCAATTTTAGACTTGAAACTCAATTTGAAACTTGAAAATCTCAATTTAAACCCTGTGAAAGTCTTAAGTTCAGATTTTCGAAAGTCTCAAGTTAAAAATTTCGAATATCTCAAGTTCAAACTTTCGAATGTCTCAAGTTAAGATTTTCAAAAGTTTCGAGACATTCGAAAGGCTTGAAAATCTCAATTTAAACCCTGTGAAAGTCTTAAGTTGAAATTTTCGAAAGTCTCAAGTTAAGAGTTTCGAATATCTCAAGTTCAAACTTTCAAATGTCTCAAGTTAAGATTTTCAAAAGTTTCGAGACATTCGAAAAGCTTGAAAAATCTAAAATCTCAATTTCAACCCTTTGAAAGTCTCAAATTGAGATTCGAAAGTCTCAAATTAAGACTTTCAGAAGACGAACATTGAGATTTTAAAGTGTCAAACTGAGCCTTTCGAAATTTATTGTTTTGCATTGTTTGTGGTCGATGGTCGAATGGTCGAGTAATTATGGGCTCGATCTCAGCAATTCAGATACTAAAGTTCGTTTATTCCCAACTCAAAGTTTAACGGTTTAATTCGATCCAAGATTAGGCTAAATGTACTCCACAATGAACTACACTGGTAATGAGCTCTCGATCCTAGTGTGTTCTCGGTTTTTATCCAAAAATCGTGGCACACTTGCCTCGATTGTCTTTGCATTCGTATTACAAAACAGTCTCGTGTTCAAATACGACGCTGAATCGATAAACACCTAATTTCTTCATAATTATGCTGCGGAATATTCTGGCATACAAGTATTTGATTTGATCCACCAAATGCATTTGAATTTTCAGGGTGGACATGCTAATATCAGTCGGTGAATCGATAATAATAAAGGCAAAGAAGTCCTTCGGCGACTGGGTGGTGAACAACGAATGGGGCTACTGTATCACCCAGCCCGACATCCTCATCTCAGGTACAACAGTATCCTCAAGTCTCTTCTGCAACCGAAGAGCAGTCCTGGAGGCGCGTTTCCAAGGCCTCGACTGGCTCCCAAACCTGGACCCCGCTGACGCCGCAATGACCTGTGGAAAGATAGTCCACGAGGTCCTCCAGACAGCCCTCCGAGACAAGTTGTACACCGCCGAGGAGATAAGAGCCCTCTCCCAGAGGATCGTCAAACAACCCTCAACCATCCGAATGCTCTACGCTTCAGATGTCACATCAAAGGCCTTCCACGTGATGATCGAAGAGTACATACCGAAAATCTGCGAGTTCATAGAGCGTTACATCGAAGGAAAACAGCCAAAAATTCCTGACAAGAATTTCACAGGGCAAATTGTGCAAATTCGAGACATTGAGGAGAACGTTTGGCTGCCAACTTTGGGGCTGAAAGGGAAGATTGATGTGACAGTTGAAGTTAAGGTTCACAATTACCGACGAAGTGTTATGCCCCTCGAAATAAAAACAGGGAGAACTGTGTTCTCTAATCAGCACAAGGGTCAATTGTACCTTTACACGATGATGCTGAAGACACTGGGGTACGATGTGGACTCTGGTCTTCTCTTGTACATTAAGGACAATCAAATGCAAGAGATCAAGAGTTCGATACACGATCAGCGAGGGTTGATATCCATGAGAAACCTCTTGGCTCATTATCTCTCGAAACCATCAGCAACAATTTCGAACACTGGAGCCTCCAAGGAGAAGACGTCCGTTGAGCTGATGGATCTACCTGAACCCATTCATCATAACTTCTTCTGCAAGGAGATGTGTGCTTACAAGACTCTCTGCTGTGTCTTTGCTGAGGAAGATAAAAATCTATCCCTGAGTAATCATCATCCTATCTCGATTATCACTAGGAGTGTCATGGAGGAGCTGACGGAGGATCATATCAATTATGTGATCAAGTGGATCGCCATGTTGGAGATGGAGGAGGCGCAGTCTCAGGAGGATGTTGCTGATGATAGCATTTGGAACTTGACGCCGAAGGCCAGGGAGAAGAGGAAAACTGGACTCATGTGCATGGAGGTTTCTAAGGTCACAGTTGTTGAGGATGCGTTTCATCACGAGTTCGTCAGGAGCAAGGGGAACGAGGGGGAGGAGGAGTTTCCTGTGAAGGACTTTAGACAGGTAGAAGTGATGAATTTTTCATGCATGGGGAATTATTTGTAAGTGAGAAAAAGAAAATTTATAATTTTTTGTAGGGGGAGTGGGGCAAAATGAAGTAGTCGAAAAAATGACTCTTTGACGCAATTCAAGCAGTCAAACAATCAATTGAATTTCCCTAACAAGATTCGAAAAAAAATTAAGGTAATTATAGCGTGATCAGAGGGGGGAGGGGTCCAAAAAAAAAAAAGAAATTAATGAATTTTTTATAGACGAAAATCGTGTTTTATACACGACGACTTGAAATATGTGGGAAAAAATAGAAAAGTTATTAAAAGATATTTCAGACAAAAATGTTCGAAAAAGATTGAAAATTTGTGATTGAAATATCGGTTTTTTTGTTGAGCGATTGGTTTTCTGCGAGAAAACAATATATTCCCCTCCGTCCCACCTCCTACATGGCCACCCCGTCATAAATACCTTAACAAACACGAACAAAAAAAATTTGTTGAAAAAACAAATTTAGTTGTTATTTAAGGTACACTCCCTGATACTCTAGGACTCAAGTAATGTTGAATTAAGGCCCGGGTGGATCATCTTCCTAACGTTATCTCGATTATTTTTCCATCTTCTCAATGTAAAATATATCACTATTTTCATCGGATTTTACATCACACAGGAGTCCCTAAAAATTATGATTGTACAATCAACAAAAGTAGAAAAAAATACTGAACATTTTCAAAGAGCGCTTTTAATAAAGATTAAGAAATAAGTCTGATAGAGAGGAAATGCTGAATGGATAATTTATCATGGTACTAATGATCTGACAGCCATTGACTACTCTGACAAATGACGATCTAACAGCCATTAGATACATCAAATTATTAATTTGCAATTTCCTCGCTACTGGGTTTGGTTCCCAATATTATTCAAAAACGCTCTTTGAAATTGTTCAACATTTTTTCAACGTTTTTTTGATTGTACAATCATAATTTTTGGACACTCCAGGGCTATGTAAAACTAAATAGCAATTGGAGATTATTGGATTATGTGTAGGAATACTCAATAAAAACACATTAGTTTTATTCTTCAAAGTAAAACTCTTTAATGATCGCACGCAGAAGGTATATCTTTCTCCAACGAAGTCTCTAGGACGACTAACTAAAAGTCATGAGAGTTTTCACTCTCTGGACCCATTTGACAAAAGGCCCTTGTTTCAATTTTCTTCAGCCTCTCCTTTGTGACTCACCATGAGGACTGTTTTTCTTCACGTCTCTATTTTCTAAGAAAAGCCATAAATGTCACCCTGAGTGTTTGGGTGGAAAAGAGAAAATGTTTAACTAAACTAAGAAATTAATTTTTGTATTCAGGCATGAATTCCAACAGAGATCATTTCAGATTATCCTATTCCTATCGTAACAAGGAGAAAACCAATCGATCTCGAAATATCTCGAAAATCTCGAATAAGCGTAAGCGTAAGACTGAAACCAAAGCGCCACTACGTGAGGAGATGAGAAGGCGCGTGCGCGGCACGCGCGGCAGATCTCGGGTGGAAACAGTGAAAACTGAAAAAAAAAATTTCCACCGAGGATCAAAGTGTCAGATCTTGGATTTTTCCAGGGGGAAAGTCGACTTTCGCCAAAATCGAATTTTTTAGCCAGGTGAACGTTGATTCCAACTATTTGAGCGACGGGCTATTCAGAACTTTCAAAAGTATGTGGGAAAAGTGGAAATTGACAAAAAAAATTTTTTTACCGGGTGTCAAAATGTCAGATCTTGGATTTTTTCAGGGGGAAAGTCGGTCATAGGGTCACAAGGGTCACGAGGGTCAAAGTGTCAGATCTTGGATTTTTCCAGGGGGAAAGTCGACTTTCGCCAAAATCGAATTTTTTAGCCGGGTGAACGTTGATTCCAACTATTTGAGCGACGGGCTATTCAGAACTTTCAAAAGTATGTGGAAAAAGTGTAAACTGAAAAAGTTTTTTTTTTCAGATTTTCAAAGGGTCAGATTTTCCGTTTTTCCAAGGGGAATGTCGACTTTCGCCAAAATCGATTTTTTTAGCCGGGTGAACGTTGATTTCAACTATTTAAGCGACGAGCTATTCAGAACTCTCAAAAGTATCCTATTAAAAAAGGAGAAAAGAAATCGATCCCGAAATATCTCGAAAATCTCGAATAAGCGTAAGCGTAAGACTGAAACCGAAGCGCCACTACGTGAGGAGATGAGAAGGCGCGTGCGCAGCACGCGCGGCCGATCTCGTCAAAATAAAAAAAACAATCAAGATCACCTTTGAAAGATACTCCACCCGGGCCTTAATGTTTAATTTTTTTCAGAATTTTATCCCTTTCTAATATTCTTAGGTCCAGAACTAAGCAAATTCTCAATTTCAGACCCTAGTGGTTCTGTTTGAGAATCCAACGGTTCTTGATTGAGAAACTTTTCTCAGTGGAAATAAGTAGATTTTTGGTACTGAATTTGAGATTTTTCTTCTGAAATTACGTAATTTGCTTCTTATTCTCAGGATAATGCGTATTAGAAGAAGCATGGGTTTCCTAACATCCGCAACTTGGTTTTAGAAACTAGAAAATTTTTTCTCCCGTGCCGCTCAAAAATTTTATTGCACTCTAAAAATTACAATGTAGAATGTAAAAATGTAAAAAAAAATAGAACTCTATTAGATTCTCTCTGTCAACATTGTCTGCGAACTGACAATCGGGAAATTGTAATTGAAACAATCTCTAGCCCTGCTGTAGTATATTACCATACAAGTAAAAAAGTAGCTGTTAACGAGTGTGAGGGTTATACTGAGAAAAAAAATACTTTGGCTAAGGAATCATTTTCTAAGAGAAGAAATTATTCCTGGCAGTCATTCCCAGGTGGCCCATGTCCATCTCCAAATATTACAATCATATTGAATTATGAGATGATTATGCTACATATGACCTTGAATAAACACCCATTATTATTTTTCACTATCAAATTTGAGATCTTACACAAAATAATTTGAATAATTCTAAATGGTAATAATTGTCAATAGAGTTCATTCGGTCATTTGTAGCATAGCCATACCATAATTCAACACAGTTGTAATATTTGGAGATGGACTTGGACCATCTGGGACTGACTGGCCTGGAGAAATCTCTATATTATAAAAATCCAAATCTACTTCTGGTGATGAAAATTTGGTACTCGAAATGAAGACTCCAAAGTCCAGGGTCAGAAATGAACGGTCAAAAACCAAAGGTCAGGCACTACGGGTCACAAAGGTTCTAATGAAGATCAAAATAAGGATCAGAAGGGTCAGATTAAGGTTTACAAAGGTCAGAATAAGGGTCATGGAGGTCAAAGTAAGGGTCATGGGGTCATATGAGGCTCTCTCTATCGTACGATATTTTATAATGTTGATGAAAAAGAGGCGATTTGTCCTTTTTTTCACTCGTATTATAAAATATCGTCTTCCATTCTTACGAAATACAATGGCAGAACATTTTTATACCCTCGTTGAGGCATTTTGCGTTCTTCTCATACGAATCAGTCCTACTGATTTCCTCATTAGAAATACTGTAATTCCCTTTCCGATGGACTCTAATGGTCGCTTCAAATTTGCCCCCTCCGGGGGCCACTTCAAGCAAAAAAATATATCCTTCGACATGATTAGGATCATTTGGTGGATTATTCACATTAATAATTTTATCTGCTCTATGAATTTTTGTAATACTAAGCTTTGCACAGAGTCTTTTCCCGTCCTTAGATTTATAATCTTTAACAATATTCTCCACATATTGGAGAAACGCTTCAGCAGCTTCTTTAGCAATTTTGTCGCCTGTATTCCCAGGCTCTAAGGCAGTACAAGTGCACCAGTGGGAAGAAACCCCAACGTCTGCGCAACCTCTCTCAATTGGCACTGGTTTCAATAAACTCTGGCATGTCGGGCACCCAGAGCTGGCTTTAGCATCACCCCCAGCCTTAATCAGGACCTCACGAAAGGTCTCATAAAGATCATAAGGTGATGTCAGACGATGCCCATTGATACTGAGTGATTGAAATGCCCTTGGATTTTTTTTCATCCACTCCGGTAGTTTTAAGTAAATGAAAGGCAATCTCTCCGCGTACCAGCCGACAAGCGTGTTCCTGATTCCTCCCCAGCGCATACCATGATCACTCAAAAACACCATCAAAGCATCATTGGTGACGCCTGATTCAGCGAACTTTTCGAACATTTCTAAGAAATGATCGTCCATTGATGATGGCCCATTCACATTTTGATGGCTGACTGTATTTGTCCAGAAAAATCCGAAGTAAGGAGAGCCGAGGAATGTCTTGGCAAAGTTCAATGCAGAATCGTAAATCCTGTCGATTGTTAATTCAGGCCCTGTGCAGTATTTAGCATCGAACTTTTTTTTGAATTTCAAGAACTTCTCGGCAGCTATCATGTAGGGCCTGAGGTAATAATCAGTTGGGGGATTTACAAATCCGGCTTTGTGATAGTTAAATGTGCTAATGTCGATCCAGTCTTCGGCGTAGGCAGTGACGTAGCCGGCGTTTCTGAAATTGTACCATAAAAAAGGACAGTTGTCAAAGCCGTAGGCTTGCTGTGGTTGGCATTTCGCCAAGGCCGTCGAGGCATTCTGACCGGTGAGAATCGCCATCAGGTTTGGAAATGTATTGTCTCCCATTTTGTTGTATCCTTGGAGGTTGATCCAACCGGTATCCATCAGGTAGCGTCTCGTCTTTGGCAGGCTTCGTTGGAAGTTTAGGTTGGAGACACTGTCTAATCCTAAAACTAGAATGCTCATCTTTCTTCGTGCTTTGTTGCTTTGGTCGAAGGGTTTGGAGGTGATGAGTCTACTTTGAACCTTCGCGGGATTCCAAATGGGGTGAATATTCTCGTATAGAATGTCAGATCCACTGAGGTTGCCCTTTGAAATGTGCTTTGGTCTGCAAGTGAGCATGACGACTTCTAAATCAGGGGGAAGCTGCACGCGATTTTCGAAGTCTTGACATTCTCCTCGGCTGAAAGATATAGAAAGAATTAGCAGGCAAAACATCTTTGAAACGAAGTGGTAACAAGAAAGGAGTTGAAATTATACAGTTTATGGACTAAGGAATGGCATCAGTGAAGCTTTACAATGGTTCCCCGATTTTGATACCTCATGCATTTTTCTCTGATTTCTTTGGTTTGTTAAGGTGTTTGGAGAAGCCAGAAAAATGACTTAAATACTTATTTTCTTTTGCTACTTTCGAAGTATTTGGCTTGATTTGACATCTAAACCACCCGCCCTTGTCTTCCTCTCCTATCCATCCCCCCTGCGGTGCCACGAGGCCAGGATTGTCAGAAAATAATTGTGTTTTAAGGTATTATTCATTACAGAAATCCTAAAACTTACGGATGATATCTTACTACAATGTCAAAGCTTCTTCTGCGTGACAATATTTATCCTGATTCAACATATAAAATGCTCACTTCAATTAAAATTTACCTGGAACAACGTACGATCGTGTTGATTGAGATAACAACGTATTTAGTCATGAGAATAATTTTGAGTTTTGAGTAAACCAACGAATTTCTGGAGTTAGCAAACTTTTCAAATCAAATACTGTCATTATTGCGACAAATAAAGGAACTTCAATTCTAGTCAAGTTCGATTTCTCCCAATCAAATGTATCTCAAGACGAGATCACTGGTGTTCACTATGAAATCGTGTTTATTTGAAAATTAACAACCAAATGAAAGTTGGTTCAAATAAAATTCTTTTGATAGAATTAATTGCTTCTGTCAGCGCACAAATTTCACTGCATTTACGTTGAATTTTCACCAAAATCCCAAGTTGTTATATACCTACATGATCCTAAAATCGTCGTCAAAGGAAATGATTGGATGAGATTTGGATGAGGTAGAAGGGGAACCGGGATTACTCTCAATCTGAATAATCAGAAAATTTTTACTGAAAAACCGGAACAGGAAGACAAGGGCGGGTGGTTTACATGTGACATACAGACATGACCCTAAAAACAGAATTCCTTCACATTTCGTAACATTCTAGACAAATTAGAAATTCGAAAATAGAAAAAATCGGTCAAAAAAGGGGAAGACTAATTAACGTTTAAAGTAACAGTCACATGCTTTCGATCGGATAGGCTCGGTCTCCTGCTTGTTTTCAACTGCTTCAGACCAACTGAGATGGTTTCACCTGTTGTCCGACAGATACTTACTCGATTTTTGTATCCCACTCTTTCGGGAGGGGTTCCTTAGGGACAGGCCGTGTAATTGGAGACCAGCAACAGACGAACTTATCATAGCTCTTGGCAACTTTTTGGTCAATAACTAAGGAGAAAGAACCTTTCACATCCTTCTCAATGAAGCTTAGTAGAGGACCATCGGAACATGACTCGAAGTTATGTTTCTCTATGTACTGAATTATCGATGGGTCCGTAGCGTTTTTTGAGACCATATGGCATTTCGGATTCCAAACTAAGTATCCCTCACCTTTGTCTGCAATATTCAAACAAGAGAATTGAATGGATGTGCGATGCAAAGGAATCAATCGAAATAGAAGGTGTTTGATTCTCATTCAAGCTCATTTTGAAAAAGATAGTTTGGAATTTAGCAGAGAATTGGGTGTCCCAAATTAAAAGTCACATCAAAATAACTCAAGGGTAGCTCCGATGAAAAAATTTTTCGAACGACAGTTGCATCGTTTTTGGGGACAAATTTAATGGCAATAAGATTTATTGAATGCCGATGGAACCTTCGCAACTACGTGAATCACGGCTGGAACCATCATAGGGAACATAACTTTTCCACCCCAAAAAGTTTGAGCTTATCCCAGAACAAATTCAACGAGTGTCCATTTATCTAAATTGATCGATTTTTTGGCTCAGAATTGAGGAAAACCTTATCAATTGCGATAATGTATGGTAAATCAGTTACTGAACCTGCGTTCAGACCTCCTTTCTGTCAGACCCTTCAGACGTGACACAATCGTCGAAAGAAGTTTGTAAACAACGGGAAGTTGCATCCCATATAGATAGAATTACACAGGATTCAACTTCACACTGTTCACGATAGTATATTTCAGTACTTGTTGGGAAATTTCGTCCTTAACGTGTGTGGTTACATCACTCGCCTTCGGCTCATGCTGTAAACCCCACACACGTTAAAGACGATATTGCCCCACACGTGCTGAAATATACTATTTCATCACAAGGTCCACAAAGTATTTTCTGACGAATGTGATTAATAGTATATTTCGTCACTAGGCCGAAAGAAACTTTTCTGGCGAATATGAGCTAGAAAAGTTTTTTTTGGCCATATGACGAACAGTATTTTTTGTTATGACGGCCGTAGGCAGAGATTCACGGCCGCGGAGCGGAGCGGAGCGTCCGTGAAGCGCTGCCTCACGGCCGGAATGACAAAAAGCCATATTCGTCAGAAAATACTTTTGGACCGTGTGATGAATGCAATTTTTCGTCAGAAGGCCCGTAAACCGCGATCTAACCGAGTGAAGCGAGGTTAGACTCGCGATTTACCGGGCCTTCTCACGAAAAGTTATTTATGCCACTCATGCCTGAAACCGGCTGGATTACACACTCGACGCTTCGCGTCTCGTGTCTAATTCAGCCGGTTTCAGGCTTCGTGACATAAAATTTTGTTCAGTACTTGTTGGGAAATTTTGTCCTTAACGTGTGTAGTTACATCACTCGCCTTCGGCTCATGCTGTAAACCCCACACACGTTAAAGACGAAATTTGCCCACACGAGCTGAAATATACTATTTGGCGATTGTACATCAGGAGCAGAGGTGTCAGATGTGGCAAAGTATCGTCACACTGGCGATGCTGGAGCCTGTGCGGTGAGACAAATTTTCCATATCTGGCAACTCTGCTCCTAACAAGGGGCTAGTAACCGAGGGGCTAATAACTTCGAGATCGAGTGACACCATGACTGCAGACTGCAATCGATTTCACCTGACGACATCAGTGATTTCAATGACTGCATTGAATTCACGATTTCATTGATTTCAAGCATGATTTCCAGTGATTTGACATGACTCATCATGATTTCATTGACTCTATTCGACTGAAATCAATGATTTCTACGTAATTTAAATCGTAATTGAAAACTCAATGAGCCGAAATTGAAAGAATAATCGAGATCAAATAATTATTTATCAAAACGATTGATTTTATTTTCATATAACATTTAACGAACGCTTACAAATTATTATTATTTCTAATAAACGAATGAACAATACTAGAAGTACTTTTTAACTTCTCTCAAAATTTTTTGGTCAATTTTCAAGTGCCCTTCATCATCAAACGTTGGAGGTGAAATTGTTTTTCGATATTGTTTAATATCAACATAGCTCTGAGACGTTATTGGCTGTGACAGTAACGTATCTGAATTTGTCTTTAAAATGTACCAACAACACAAAACACTTATATCTCTTTTGTTACCATCAATACGCGCGTATGAGCCAGAAAATTCTCGGAGGAAAAATTCCAGAACGAGTGTAGAGCGTGGTGTATTTTCGGTCGAGGGATTCCCTCGTGATTTCATGGATTTCATTGACTGCAAATGATTTCATTGTGACTTCAAGAAATGATTCCATGAATGGGAATCACTAGATTTCTATGATTTCACTGATGTCAGCGATTTCAGTGATTTCATAGGTGACTCCAAATTGATTTCAGCACCATGATTTCAGGAGTTACTAGCCCCTCGCTAGTAACTTTGGAAATTACGGTGCCACTTACAGGTGTAATCGTTTGGAAATCATGGAAAACGCACGATTTCTAATTGGTAAGTCGTGATTTCCAACCTTTGGCAATCATTAGCAATCAATGAAAACTAAAGGAAAATTCTACCCTGTGGACTGCGAACTAGCATCTTTTTCCAACTCAACAAAAAAAAGTGTTCCTCGCCGAAATTCACATTTTTCCCCAATCTATTCCGAGTAAGGAGTCCTATCGTAAAAAGGAGAAAAGAAATCGATCTCGAAATATCTCGAACATCTCGAGTAAGCGTAAATGTAAGACTGAAACCGAAGCGCCACTACGTGAGGAGATGAGAAGGCGCGTGCGCAGCACGCGCGGCCGATCTCGTGTGGAAAAAGTGAAAACTGAAAAAAAAATGTTTTCACCGGGGGCTAAAGTGTCAGATCTTGGATTTTTTTCAGGGGGAAAGTCGGCCAAAGGGTAACAAGGGTCACGAGGGCCACAGTGTCAGATCTTGGATTTTTCCAGGGGGAAAGTCGACTTTCGCCAAATTCGAATTTTTTAACCGGCTGAAAGTTGATTCCAACTATTTAAGCGACGGGCTATTCAGAACTCTTAAAAGTATGTGGAAAAAGTGAAAACTGAAAAAAAAAAAAAATTTTCAGATTTTCAAAGGGTCAGATTTTCCGTTTTTCCAGGGGGAAAGTCGACTTTCGCCAAATTCGAATTTTTTAACCGGCTGAAAGTTGATTCCAACTATTTAAGCGACGGGCTATTCAGAACTCTTAAAAGTATGTGGAAAAAGTGAAAACTGAAAAAAAAAAAAAATTTTCAGATTTTCAAAGGGTCAGATTTTCCGTTTTTCCAGGGGGAAAGTCGACTTTCGCCAAATTCGAATTTTTTAACCGGCTGAAAGTTGATTCCAACTATTTAAGCGACGGGCTATTCAGAACTCTCAAAAGTATGGAAAAAGTAAAAACTGAAAAAGTTTTTTTTTCACCCCGAGCCAAAGGGTCAGATTTTGGTTTTTTCCAGGGGGAACGTCGACTTTCGCCAAAATCGAATTTTTTAGCCGAGTGAACGTCGATTCCAACTATTTGAGCGACGGGTATTCAGAACTCTCAAAAGTATCCTATCGTAAAAAGGAGAAAAGAAATCGATCCCAAAATATCTCTAAAATCTCGAATAAGCGTAAGCGTAAGACTGAAACCGAAGCACCACTACGCGAGGAGATGAGAAGGCGCGTGCGCAGTACGCGCGGCCGATCTCGTTTGCGAAAAAGTAAACAAATATTGCTAAAGTGATGATTTATTTTAAAAAACTTTCAATAGACAATTCATTTATTAGCAGAAGGTGTTTTGAATGAATTTCTATTGAATTCAATAAACCAATGAATTTTGGAAGAAGAAAAAAATTTTGATTTTTGAAAAATGTGCCAGTGTTTTTTTGCGGAACAAAGTTATGGAAGTCATTGATTTCCATTCCATGAAATCATTGGAAATCACGAATAAAAATGTTGGAAGTCGTGGAAATCATTTTGAAATTCGATTCCATTTGGAAATTCTTGTGTCACTCAAACTCGCAGTTACAGTTCCCTTGGCTCCTGATGTACCATTTGTCTGTAGCCTGACTCTCCTGACTTATGACGTTTCTGACATCTGAATGGTCTCGTAGAAAGGAACTCTGACCTCATGTTAAGTTCTTGATTTACCATGCATTATCGCAATTGACAAGTTTCTCCTCAATTCTGAGCCCAAAAATCGATCAATTTAGATAAATGTGTGCTTGTTGAGTTTGTATTGGGACCATCCCAATTTGAGAGCTGACTTGTTCATCTTGATATGGACTGAATGCATCATATGGCAGAAAGCAAACGAATAAGCAAATAAATGACAAGTACTAGGATAATTGAAGATTCAGTTTAATCCCAATGAAAATGCGATAAAGCGAACAAGGATTACAACTGAGTGGAACACAGAGCCCCTCATAAAACTCACCATCTTCTAGATTATGCAGTTCGGGCACAGAACGTCCAAAATATAAGTAAAGTGAAGTAATGAGGAGAGCGAGGAATAGCAATGCGACAGCGCGTTGTTTCTTTCGGAAAAATTCGATGGGGCTGTAGCAAGTTGATCTCAGAATATTTCGGGGTTTGCCTCTAGTAGAACAATCTTCCTTTTCCTTTGAGCTCAGTAGTGCTCGGGTTAGTAGTGTTTCATTCTCTCCTTCATCCAAATAGGTTCTCTCCTCTTCATCATTAGAACGTTCGTTCTCCAGCTCAATTTCGGCTGAACTAGTCATGATGGTTCACCTTTAACAATTTCATCTCATATCATTTTAGCGCAACCACGAAATTGAATTGATGGTGGAGACATCGCAAGGCGTTTCTCGGTCTCTGAAATGAACCGCATAAATAAGAAGTAATTCTAATGAAATGAGAGAGAAAAGGAGGTTCCGTTGAGGAGATCTAAATAAAAGAGGTAGAAAATTTACCTCTGTTACTGAAAATTGATTCGACAGAAATAGTTGATTACACGATTGAACATAGTAATCGGAGACCATATCGAGATAATTTAAAAATTTATTTCATTTCAAGGCCCGGGTGTACTATCTTTCGAACGTTATCTCGATGTTTTTTTCATCTTTCATCATCTGAAATTGTCAACTGAGTGCTGCATCATGCAGAAGTTTTGAAAAATTATGAATGAGTAATCAAAAAAAAGTAGAAAAAATTCTAAATTTTTTCAAAGAGCATTTTTAATTTGTAATCAGAATAAGTTGAATAACAAGAAATTGAAAAATGTATCTGATTGACGGTGACAAATAGCGGCCTGTCACCCAATATCATGCAGGGGGAAGACTGATTTCGTAAATCTTTTTCCACACTGCACAGAGGCATTTATTACGGAAAAGGCTCTTTGAAAAAAGTTTTAATATTTTGGAGAATTTTTTAATCACACTTTTATCACATAAAAATGGCAGATGACTACATACCACTATTTTGAAAATTGAGATACCTAGCTGTCTTCCCAGGAGAAAACACAATTCTAAAGATTCATATAAACGCAGGGGTTCCGTTTCCCCTTAAGGGGTACCAGAGAGGCGGTAATTTTCCAAATTTTCAAACAAATTTCCTGCCAAAAGTTATCAATATTTTTACAAATCGAAGCACATTAATCTCCAGGAGATGATGATGAAGATCAATGTTCTTTGGGTTTGAAAAATACTAATAACTTTGAGCAGGAAATTTGTTTGAAAGTTTGAGGAAACGGTCGTCTTCTGTTACCCCTTAACACTCCGTTGGTGTTGCAAAAGTTACGAACGCCGTCGGTCGCGCCGTGACCGCCGCGCCGTACCAACATAAATCAACAAAAGGACAAATTTTGAAGATCTAGGAAAAATCTTTAAAAAATCAAGAGTGATATAGATTGTATACTTGAAGAAGCGTTTGCTTTAATTATTCAAGCCCAAAGCAGCCATGATTTTTCGAAAATTCGCCTTATGCACGGTATACGGCCCGGAGTTTCGGTATAAGCCCGGTGGCTTGGCGCAGTGGGCAAGTTCGTTGCCTCACATGCGAAAGGTTCCGAGTTCAAATCCCGGCCGGGTAGAATGGTGCGATCTAACCATTTAAAGTCTTGATCATCATCGCAGTATACCCTAACCGGGTCGAAGCGATGTAAAATAACGATAAAAAATGAGAGTTTCGATATAAAACTCTGAAAATTAGTACTTATGATATTTTTGGCCAATCTTTTCATTGATAGGACTTCTGGACTACTTTAAAATGAGATGTTAAATTTTTTCAAATTTTTCTGAGGCTTTGCTGCAGCGTAAATTAAAAAGTCGGAAAACGTGGAGTGTTAAGAGATAAGATATTTAGCGCAGGAAATGAGTTTTGTTATATTATGTCGATATTTTTGTTGGTGTGGAAGTAGGTCAGCGTAAATTGGGATATGAGGGGCGTAAGTTCGACTTGAAATAAAAAAGACGTAAGTGGAAGTGGACCCTTGGTGAAAAATAAAAGATAGATTTTCGTGGTAATTACCATAACTTTCCTGTATCATCCTAGTAGATTATATACAGGAGAGGCAATCATAGAGGTCCAGTGGAACACACTGAGAGAAAAACGACAAAGTTCTCAAACAAGTCTTACTTGTCCCAACAAAATAGTTTTTTGAAAATGATCAAAAAAGGATTTTTTGTGCGAAACATGCAGAGAGTGCGCCGGAATGAAAAATTTTTGTCGCAAAAATAGATTTAGTAGTTTAAAAAAAAATGCATTCTCTGCCAAAAAGTCCTCAACAATTTCTCATGGGTTACGGTAACTATGGCCGGAGAAGCGATTACTACAATGGAATGTAGTCATTGTTACTATTTTATAGTTCCGCTCACGATAGATTTGTCGTGGTTACTTTTGAACTTTGGTTAGTTTAACTGCATTTTTTTTTATTATTCAATTTTAACTGCATTTTGATTTGCAAAAATTACGCTTGTGAAATTACTATAATGTTATGTGCCGCATACAAAAAAAAAATCGTATCGTTCACCAAAACTGCCTCAACTATTTTCTTATAGTAAATCGAACTTCAGATTTTTCTCTCAGTGTAGCACTACTCCTTCGTTGTTCGATTCTCCCATATGTATTTTGCTCCCGAAAAATCTTTGTTTTAGGCGAAACAAGGAATAGTAGTTTTTCGTTTCGGCTGTCTAAGATCCGTGGAGTACAGACGTTTCTTCCTCGTGCCATTTTAAAGAATAAAAGATTTCAAGTTTAATCCACTGCATTGAGTACTCATTTATATATCCCACTACCAATAGTGTCAATTTAAAACCAATTTTTTTAAAGTAATATTTGAAACTTATTTGGTTAGAGAAACAATTGCAGAGCTAGAGGGAATAGTACATTAGAGTACAAGGGCACAAATTTCGTTTTCAACGAATGTGTAGTTTACAGGCCGAGCCGAAGGCGAGGTCTGTACACACATTTGTTGAAAACGAAATTTATTACCGAGTGCTCTATAATATTTTATGTCAAGTCGTGCACAAGTCGAGTGTTGAGCAGGCTGCGCGAAGCGCAGCGTGCGATAAACTCGACTTATTGCACGGCGCGACATAAATTATCAAAAGCTAGGGGGAAATAACCGCTGTAATTTTAATTGGGAAGTACTTCATGTTATTGAATACTGAACTTCGATTGGTCCAGGGGAGGCCAGATCCGATTACCAAAAATAAGGAGCTATAATACCCCAAGACCTTCAAAATTATCGGATATTTCCCGAATATTTTGTTACATAGCTACGAGAGGGATCAGTTTTGGCGTAGCGCGAGGGATTTTACTGCAAAACTGATCTCGACCGTTGATATGCAGGAAAACTTGAGGGAAATATCCGATGAATTTTGAAGGTCGAGGGGTATTCGGAGGACAATTTCTTCAATTCTGATTTTGGCCGATCAGAGTGCAGTGTTCGGGGTTACGGGACATATTTTACCAAAATGTGAGGAATACCTGTCAAATTCGTAGAAGACAATTGGCAGGCTGCAGGGAAATTATCAGTCTGATAATTTCCCTGCAGCCAGGGAAATTAGTGTGAAACGCGTCACGTGACCCCGAATACTGCACTCTGATTGGTCAAAATCAGAATTAAGGAAATTGTCAGTTGTGATACCCCAAGAGTTTCAAAATTATCAGGTATTTTGCGATAGGTTCGTTGCAAACAAACGAAGGAGTCAAGTTTTTTAGGAAAAATCACTCGTGATTATACAGCCTGACTCGCTATACAGCCTGACATAACGTTTGTGGTTATTAATTTCCTGAGGGTTTTAGTCTCCTTCCTTCAGGCTAAAAAATCACGAGTGCACGGAGAGAAATGTGCAGTAAAAATTACGGAACTCACAATTCGCTCATCGATTACGGAATCGACTCAGAAAATTTAAGTACCGGTATCGGAATTTTTCACAGGAGATTCAGATGAAAATTACCGAACGCTCTGAAAAAATTCCATGACAGTTCCGTAAAATTTCCTACAACCACATTTCGCTCCGGAATTACGTAATTTTTATTGAATATTTCTCCCCGTGTGTGAAGCACGATTTTTCTTCCTAAAAGACTTAACGCCTTCGGTTGTACGTAACGTTTGTACTCACTAATTTCCTGTTTTAGATCAGTTATAATTCCAAAATATTGTTATAATTTCAACACTTTTGCGAGTTTTTACACAGTTAACACTTGGTTTTTATCAATGATGTTTGAGTCCATTCGTCTACTACTGATAGAAGTTTCTTTCTTCTACTAATTTTGAATTCACATGATTTATGAATATCTAAATTTATCGTAAAGTTTGAATTAATTTGAGTTCTTACCGAACAGCTCAAGACACAAGGAAATTTCATCCAAATTTCAATAAAAACTTCCTCGTTGTCATTTCTGGTAAACTTCGATTGCGAATCAAGATAAATGTCCTATTGGAAATGGGAAGTTAAATTATTTAAAACACTGTGAATTTGAATCTAACTACTGTTCTTTATTAAAATCGCAAGAGGAAGAAAAACGTCTGTACTCTACGAACTGCTCTAGCAGACTAAATACCGGTCACAAAGACCAAAAGAATATCGTCACTTATCGATAAAGAGCTCTCAGCTCTTTCTCGCCATGGAGTACTTGTTTATGTTTATATTAACTCTCCGGCACTCTCTACGTCGATTGGTTTTTGTACGCAGAATCTCATTGAATCAATTCTTAGAAAATGAAGCTATATAATCCAACATGTCCAATCAAAATTTATTCTACTTTGGATTTTAATACCGGTTGGCGGTTCATGTTCCGACAATCACCGGAAAAATCAATCCGTTCGTTCACTCTTCTTTGCCGAAGGCTGGCTGACGACTGAGGAAAGCTTCAATCGAAATGCGGTGCCGGGACGATGTGTGACAATTTTAAAGGTGTTTACTTTTGATTGTTATTGAAAACTGTCTATGTAAACATCTTGCAATAATGTTGGCATGCAATTAATTGCATAATGTGGGTTTTGAGAATTGTTTTGCCCTCAATTGGACATATGACCGCCTTCTAAAAGAAGTCGAGTCAGCTTTGTTTTGCTGATTTGGCGTTTTATCATGGAACTCTTTCAATCAGGGTCAATATTCCGAGTGAAATAATTCAATGTAAGAGTTTAAAATGTTTTTGGGTACCGAAGCCAGGAAAATTTGATTTTGGGAAAACCGAAAAAAACGAAAAAAAAATTAAAAAAGGGGGTTTTCCTTCTGATCGTCAACTATTCAAAATAAAGACTTTTCAGGCATAATGCAGAGACAGTCAAAAGGGGAAACCCTTTTTTTCGGTTTTTTCGTTTTTTTTCGATTTTCTCATGATCTATATAATATATAGATCTATATAATGGATCGTAAAACGGAAGCTTAACTTTGTTCTTGGGAGTCTCACAAACATTTTCAAAAAAAAGGGTTCTTACGTCAATGACTAGTACTTTTCGTTGTTTCTTCGTCCCTAACTCGCTGAAGTCTATCACTGCGGAGTTTTGAATGATCTTTATTAAACAACCAACATATTGATGATTTGCGAACTATTGATTCTTGGCCTGAAGTATCTGAAACTATAATGAATGGACTTTCTGGATCCATACGATAATAAACACATACGGCATTTGTCGGGGAGTAAGTAAATGGGGGATTCTCAGAAAAACCAGTATGGCAGTGAGTGCGGCATTTTATTATCATCACTGGCAGGCGTGTCAATTTCAAAATCTCGAATTACTTGTACGGTTCGCACTACGCCAGAGTTCGAATTAATGGCATTAAAACAAATATTTCAAGCTATCATTGAATTCATTTGATATTTAAAGATATCCCCGGAATTCTGATTTTCGAAAAATATAAAATTTTTGCTAATTTTCAAATAAACCAAAATAACGATTATTGCTATCGCCTTCATCTTCGAATTTGGTCAAAAGGACATGTAAACAATTTTTTAAGCCACCATTGAATCAATTCAGAACATTTTTTTTAGTTATCGTAAGACAACCAATTTTCGAAAAAAATCGAAAATTAAAAAGACTAATCCAGGAATTAAATTGTATTTATCGGCAGTTGATAGGGCTCAACAATATTTACATGTAAAAGAAAAGATTCAATTCTATCCATTCATTAGCGGACAATTGAAGCAAAATTTTGTTTTTCGTACGTACACATATATATTCACGCGTACGGACGAGGTCCAAAAATTGCATTTTTTGACTTTTTGGATCCCACTGGGTCGATATAACAGAAAAAATTCAAAACTTTGGGACGATTACAATGCTTCCATTCGGAAACAATATGAAAAGGAGAGATACGTCCGCGAATAACTAGGAAAGCAGTTAAAAGAATAACGAGTAAGAAAGAGCCGATCGTACATGAAGGTAATCGAGAGGGAGAATAGTATATTCCGTAACGAGTGCAAAAAAGTGTTTTTTGGCGAGTCGGAGGTTTATATCACGAGCCGAAGGCGAGTGATATAATCCCACGAGGTAAAAAACATTTTTTCACGAGTTACGAACAATATTTTTCATCACAATGTGGCGGAAACTGGACTTTTAGGCACGCGGAGCGTGCTCAAAAGTTCACTTTCCGTCACAGCGTGATGAAAAGTATATTATTTCATCACGCTGTGCAAAAAAGTTACTTTTTCGGCGCGCTTCACGTGCCTAAAACGACCCTTTTCCACCCATTGTGATGAAAAATATCGTTCGATGCTCACGGGAAGAGTGCTTTGCGGCTCGTGGGATTATATCACTTGCCTTCGGCTCGTGCTATAATCCTACGAGCCAAAAAACACTTTTCTACACTCGTATCGAAATATACTATTTCTTCACAATGTCCGCAAACGGCGTTTGACGGACACGACGTGAAATGAAAAGAACACATACGTAACAATATTTAGTTACTGTAACATAAAAAAATGGAAATTTAAATTTGAGCGATTACAAGCGAGCGTTCGTAATTATTGTACTGGATTCGCCGGTCATGAAAATAACCGGGGAATCCGGATTTTTTTCATATGTAATTTCATAAATTGCATAAAAATGCATAAATTGCGTAAAATGCATAAATTTCATAAATGTCCCTAGAAGGTGGGATGAATCGTAAGCAATGCTCTTTGCGTAATTTCATATGTAATTTCATAAAGTGTATAAAAATGCATAAAATGCATAAATTACATCAATTTCACATGTAATTTCATAAAGTGCATAACAATGCATAAAATCCATAAAATGCATAAATTGCATAATTTTTTCAACTTTTTTTGCTTCCATTTGGAAGCAAAAACCTCTTCAATAATTAATATTCGCCCCTGTTTCCCCCAGGTATTTCGCGGCGATGAATACGTAACAGTAAGCAGTGCCAAGCGCTTCCACATCGCCTCAGGCTTCCTGAACTCCGTCACTAAGACCTCCCTAACCCTTCGTCTAGACCGAGACCTAACAAAGCGCAACAAGGAGATTTACTCTATAGACATGCTTTCGATCCGCAGTCAGCTGTACCGAATCCTGGGGACCCTGGCAACCCTCTTGAGCTCCAACGACATCACTCGTCGAATGCGCCGTCTGATAATCGACAAGGAGCCCGCAAGGTTCACCGAGCCCCTGCCCCGTGACTTTGACACCCCAGGAGCCCGTGAAATCCTCGCCAGACTGAACAAGTACCAGCAAGAAGCCCTGATAGCTGTTTTGACAGCCAACGACTACGTTCTCATCAAGGGAATGCCTGGCACAGGGAAGACCGAGACCCTAGTAGCCCTCATCGAGCTCCTCTCCTACTTGGGAAAATCGGTAATCATCACTGCTCACACGCACAATGCAGTCGACAACATCCTCTTGAAGCTAGACCAGAGAAAGGTGGACTTCATGCGACTGGGGAGTGACCACAGACTCCACCCAGAGCTCGTCCACAAGTCCGAGTCAGTATTAATCAAGGACTGTGATACTCCTGAGAAGCTGGGGCTCGTCTATGGCAAACAGAAGATTGTCGGAGTCACGTGTCTGGGTGCAGGCCACTTCCTCCTAACCAAACGAACATTCGATTACTGCGTTGTTGACGAGTGCACCCAGGTGCTTCAACCAGTACTTCTTAAACCTCTTTATAGTGCCCAGAAGTTCGTCTTCGTGGGAGATCCTCAGCAGCTGCCAGCAGTGATAAAGAGTGTGGAGGCGAGGAAGCTGGGGATGGATGAGGACATCTTCAATCGTCTGGACAGCCCCAACAACACCAGGAGCCTGAGACTCCAGTACAGGATGAATCAGACGATAATGAATCTTGCGAATGACTTCATGTACAAGGGGGAGCTCTGCGCTGGGAATGAGACTGTTGCCAATGCCACTTTGAGGTTCAAGCATCCTGAGAGGGTGGCCAAGTGTGAGGAGTGGGTGCAGAGGGCTCTCGATAACTCTTTGGAGAGGGCTGTGACGGTTTTGAATACTGGGGAGACTGTCAATTTAATTGCTCACACGAGACTTGAGAGAAATTCTTTTCTCAAAATGAGGGAGCAGAGCGAGGAGAATGCCAAGAGCACTGTCAATTGGTACGAAATTGTTGTTATTCAGCGTCTTGTTACTGCTCTGGTGAATGGGGGGATCAGCCCTGAGGAGATTGGTGTTATTGCTCCGTTCAGGGCGCAGATCAATCTGCTGAGGACCATCATCAAGGAGGAGGTGGAGATCAATACTGTGGATCAGTATCAGGGAAGGGATAAGAGTGTCATCGTGTTCTCGTGCACGAAGAGCAACAGGAGGGCTCTGGAGCTCAAGTCACCTTCGGAGTATAGGGTCTTGGAGGATCCCAAGAGGCTGAATGTGGCTGTGACGAGAGCTAAACATAAGATTATTATTGTTGGAGATGTACCCCTGCTGCTGGATTATGGGGTGTCTACCAAGGAGTTGTTTAGTATTCTGGGGAAGGATGTGCGGGATCTGAAGGATAATGTCGATGGGTTTTCTTGGGACAGACTTTTTAAGAGCTTGGTGGAGTCCAGGGGGTGCGAGGGGAGCCAATGAGGCGGCGGGTGGGAAGGATTATTCATCAATTCAGTAGCGAAGTGGTAGAACGGTTCAAGTCAATTCTGACTATTGACCAGTTTTCAATGAATAGTTCGGAATCTAAGGGAGATAGCAAAATTTTTGTCATAACCTTTTTTGTATAGCCGATTGAGGGCTACAACAAATGTGATTATGAATATTTCGCTATCTCCTTTAGATTGGGAGATATTCGTAAAAAACGCAACTGGGAGATTAGTCGATTTAAATCGTTTTACCACTTCGCTACTGAATTGTTCATTCAATTTCGTGGGAAGAGTGGTTTAGATGATTTTGTTGTAAAATATCCTGTTTTGGGGATAATTCTGTAGCGAAGGGGTACAACGGTTCAAGTCGATTTTGTTTATTGGCCAGTTTTCAATGAATATCTTGGAGTCTAAGGGAGATAGCTAAATTTTTATCAAGCACTTTTTCTGTCGCTATCAACTTATTCCAGAAAAAGGTTATTACGAAAATTTCGTTATTTTTTGTTTTACTTAAATAGTTTTACCGCTTCGCTATGGAATTCGCAACTGAGAATGTAGATTGTTTGTAACAGAATGGAAGAGTTTGTTTGTCGTCGTGACTTATCTCATTGATGACTGAATTATCTTGGGTTTTGAGAAAATGTGAGACCTTTTTTTTGAAATTATCTTAAACATTGTTCAGTTTCAATCAACCAAAGTTAAGGTGAATTGCCTTGAATAACTAATTTCAGTGGAAAATTATCTTATTAAGCAAACATTCAAATGAAAAATGTCAAGTCTCTTTCGGAGTATAGAGTTTTGGAGGATCCCAAGAGACTGAATGTAGCCGTGACTATAGTTAAGCATAAGATCATCATTGTTAGAGATGTGCCTCGGCTGTTCGATTATGGAGTCCAGGGGGTGCGAGGGGAGTCAATGAGATTGACTGGAGTCATTCATTGTTCATTCAATTTCTTGGGAAGACTGGTTTAGATGTTTTGTCAGTAGAATTTTTTTGAGGGAAGATTTTGAGTTGTGGGAAATGATTCTTGACATTATCAGAATACTCGTTTCGTAGATTATTTCTTAGACTGGGGAGCAGAATGTGTTAACGTTAATTATCTCACTGATGCCTAATTACCTCATTTTATGAGAAAATATAATTTTTTTTTGTCATGCAGTCCTCCAACTTTTCTAAAACATTTCCCAGTTTCTAATGAACAGAGACAAAAATCGTTTTCGTTGAAGAACTCATTCCGACTGGGATGTTTTTTTTAGTAATTGATAATTAAGAATTCAAAATCGTCTTTCGTTACTTTTTCACCCTCGACTTACTATCTTTTAAGACATTTATAAGTCTATGTAACAAATAGTTGTGCTTGTCCCCTGTCACCACTTCATTGTAAAAATATTTTGATATACACAATCATATTCCATGAATGATTTCCAGGAAGAAATTGTTCAGGCACGAGTATTATAATTAGTAATTTTTCTCCATTCAAGTTATTTTCGCTTCAGTACCATTTTTTTTATTACATCTCTGTAGATCTCAGACTTTTTATACCTCAATACGACGAATAATGACAGTATTCCACAACAGTTCTCGAAATAAATAAAGACTTTGTAGAAATAGCCTCAGTTATTTTATTCTATGAAAAATAAAGAGAGTATCGAAGCTACAGGGATCGAATTAATTCTCATTGAATGAGTAGAATGAAGAAAGATAGGATTTCCTCTTTGGCATTTGTTGTTATAACATGGAAGAATAACTTTTTTTTATCAATGAAGAGAGAAATTTCTAGGTAATTATTTTTATAAAACTGTTATTAATATTAATACATTTTCCTATAATAATATCAGAGCCAATTGAAAATGCTTCTTCCACAGATCCATTTTAATCAATGACAAATACGAATGATTATAGAAATATTCTACTGAATTGATATTATCTAAATCATAGTATTTATACAGTTTTGTTTATCATACATCGATTATAATCCTTAGTTGTTTTTTAAAATGATTTTTCCTTGCATTATAAATAATTTTAAGTTTTTTCATCGACGATAAACCAAATACTGTACACGTGTGGGAAAAGGGATATATCTCTGCCTGGTTTTTCTTTTCAGTGAGCCAATTACTTCTTTCTGGATTTCACGATTCTTATGAATCAGATATTCTTCGTTCTGACTGTAGGCATCCGTGGTGAGTAAACGGCTAATTAAAATGGTTATTCCGATGAAGATGGCTCTCGTCTCTTCTCAGCATGTTTTTTTGTAAATTCCTCGGCATTTTTCAAGTATTTCTTTCTGTCTTTTAGGAATTCCTCGGCCAAATCTGCTCGAAGGGGATGCTCGGGCTCGGGATCGTTGACTAATGCGATTAATGCTTGAATGACTGGAAAATGAGAATAGTTCGATTAATATTTATTGATTGAAGAAGCGAAACTAGTCGAGTGAAATATTCAATTCTCGTTTATTTGGGATTTGGGAAGGAAATTAATGAGTTTGAGGAAAAATGTGAAGATATTTTCTCAGAGACCCAAATCCCTATCGACTTTTTTGGCCTGCTGATTTGGCGTGGATCTGCTCATAGATCGATTTACTGTGTTTGATTTTCCCTTGAAATTCAAGGTGAAATTTGCATTTTACCAAAAAGTTGTTTCCAGCTATTTTTTAGAGTGTAAATAGAAATAGTACGCCCCACGCTAACCCTATTTCTGTATGCGCTACGAAAAAAATTACATTTTATCCCTGGAATTTACGTTAACGGAAGTGCTGAATCCGAATCCGACGTCGATTTTTACAAATTGTGGTCAGGTCTATTTATTTATAACATTTTTATTGTTTAATCGATCATATCCTGGAAACGGTTGCAGATAGAGAAAAAAAATTTAAACAAAAGATGTTTGTTATGTAAAAATACACATTTTTCATCATATAACTTTTTCTCCTAACTGCGATAGATAAAGAGTTATCGTGGATGGGAGGGAAGTGGCAGCCCGTTAACACTTGCGCGGATGTTGGGGCGCTCCGATGCGTTTATTGGCAAACTCGATCGAGATAGAGGAAAATGGTTCAAACGAAAAATGTTCATAATTGAATTTGACATATAATTGATGATTTTCCATTTGATCCGTCAATTTTTTTATGAATTTTTTAAGTTGATTGGTGAAGGCCCCTACTGGGAAATATGAAAAAAATTACAAAAATTTAATATTACCAACAAAGTATTTTACGGCATATTCAAGCTATTTTTGGTAGCAAATTTTTGTGAATTTTTTCAGATTTTCAAAATGGGTCTTTCGTTAATCTACTTTAAAAATTGATGAGAAATTAAAGAATTGATTTTTAAAAATCTGAAAAAAATCAGGGTGGATTTTTCATCGAGTAGCATCATGAAAAAAAAATGAAACGCGAGATGGTCAGGGTTTAAACTGGTCGAATTGACACGGAATGCCCCATATACATTCAATTATTGAGATGATTATTACTTTGAATTACTTCAATCCTTTCGAATTTGATGATTATTCACAAAATGAGTAAAAATACAAAAAAAAATCCGGGGAATTTTTTGTAAAAAATTTAACTGAGATTTTACCTTTTCCCCCGAAGCCACTCAGACCTCGGATGATTCGTAAATCAACCAGATTACCTGATTTCGTGGCTGAATAAATTAAAAATTCATGTTTACCTTGATCAGTTTTTGTCGCTGGCTTCCAGTGTTCAGCAGTGATAATGGGTAAACACACCTGTCCCTTCTCATCAACATTAGGATGGTAAATTTTGGTCTTGAACGTTATTCTCGGTGGTTTGAATGGATACTCAGCCGGGAAGTTAATCTCAATACGAAATGCTCCCTTATTGTACGGTGGATTGTCCTGGGAATAATTTTTATCCATGAAAAAAAATTAGTTCAAGCGAGTGCAAACGACATGTAGCACGTACGTAACCGCATGAGTCACGAAAAATACTAGTCATCCAAACCAAATTGTCTATAAAACTCTAGTTACGTGCGTGATACAGTTTATGGTGTCCAGAATGGACAGATAATTTTCCCAACTCACTGGTAATATGAGTCCCTGCCAATTGAGAATATTAGATTCATCTACTTGAATATTTGTGAAGCTCTTCATCGACGAAGCCCTGAGGTCTCCCAGCTCCTGAAAACGAGAATCAAAACACAATCAATGAAAATAAAACATCAATCAAGATCTATTAAGAAAACTAAAAACGTCGAACGTGATTTTTGTCAGAAACAATTGAGAAACGAGGTCATCTCTAAAAAAAGACAATCGCTTCCTAAAAAAAATACAGGAAGACCCTGGACAATTCCACTGGAAAAGCAAATGAATCTTCATAAAAACTCTCAACAAAAAATTACAGGAAAATTGAATTCCGATATTTTTGTTTAGAAAAATTGTTAAAGCCTCAATAACACATGTAATTTCGTCTCCTCGTCTCGCAATCTTTCGTTGAATAAAAAAATCCCGTGAACTTACCTTTTGCAATCTCCTCGTAGCTGCCATTTTGAAAATAAATTTTACTAGATTTTAGCGGCAGGCTTGCCACGAATTAAATCTCTCTTTCCTTCTTTTTATATAAAAAAACGTGTCAAGATGTTCTTCCTTCGCTGTCCCCTTCTGATGCTCGTGTTTTGATACGATGACCGTGGCAGTTTATCGGGACAAATCGATCACAGAATTACCCAATTTATCGGTTGATATTGATGACTGATTGATGCACAGGTTATATTAACTATTTATGTTCACGGTAATTGTTCGGGGTGATTTAACTCATGTAGAAATAACTTTACACTGGAGATTATCAACTATTTGCCATTTCGGGGAGGGGGGAATATAAAGAATAATCAGCGGTCGGACGCCATCATCCCATTTATAAATACCATGATGATTATTTTTATTTTACCCCAACAATATGGCGACGGGGGGAAAACACTAGATTCGGCCCGACGGTTTTTGTCAATTTTTATTCTCTTTCTTGTACTTTCGTTGTTCGGATTTTTTGGGGATATTCAGAGAGATGAAGACATTTGTTGATATTAGCACTGCTTTTGTGGACATCCACTAACATTCTGACGTTTTCACTCTTGATTTTTGGATTTTTTAAACTGTCAGGATTGCCAAAATTGATTTCAGTTTTTTGGGGTTTTTTATGGTGAAGTGTTGGACGTCTGAGAAGGAACTGGGAATGTGCGGTGTGGTGCGCAGAAGGTCTGAATTAAACACGCGGGGCGAGATTGGGAGTCAGTTCGCGATTTTCAACGGTTTGAGTTGATCTCGGGATTTAGAAAAGTTTATTTGGGGTTTGAGTGAAGAAGTAAATGTGTGGATTTATTTATCAAGAATTGTGGGACATGAAAAAAGGTGTTTGTGAATTTTTGTTGAGTGGTTGGACCATAATTGGACAGTCCGTGAGAAAACCGAGGGTTTTTACGTGATTGTGACTGGATTCTGTTCCTGAATAAGCTGATAATTAAGTGGGTGAATGGAACCTCATCTGTTTATTTAATATTATTTGATAAATGTTCATTTAATAGGAAATATGCACCGAGAGAAAAATGTCAGAGTTTTTAAACCAGTCTTGCTTGTGCCAAAAAAAATAATTGTTCTTTTCAATTGTTTTTGTGCTAAAAATGCAAAGAGTGCACTGAGATGGAAAATGTTTGTCGAAAAAATAGATTTAGTAGGGTAAACAGGTAAATTTCTGGACGGGCTTTAGTTTCTGGACATTAATAAAATGAAAATTGTACTGATTATTTCACCTTTCAATAACATCACTCGTGTATAACCATGTGATCAATTATTTTTTCTATTGATCGACATTTAATAGGGGAGGCTGGTAAAACGGACACTTTTGACTTTTTTAAAAATATTAATGAGGGATTGAAATGTTGATAAAATTTAATAATTTTTTTTAATACAAAGAACAATTATTCCTCGTTGTGACGAGCCTAAACTGAGCTCAATTGATAAATTTGTTTCTGAGTTATGAATAATTTTAAAAAGTCTAGTGTCCATTTTACCCCACCCTTCCCTAAATGAAAAAAAATATGGTCCAGTCGTTCAGAAATTAGGGGTTTTGGCTGCATTCAACTATTTCGTAACTAAATCATTCTTTGCTTTGTTATTTTCACTTCAAATAATTTTTTTATGCTAATTGAAACATTCTTGAAGGTATGGAAGCCATCATATCCCCATTTAGGTGATTCTTTCATTTTAGATCGTACAACGAAACTGGAGTTTCCCTTAACCGTCCAGCAAATGGCCTGTTCACCCTAGTTAAAAAAATATATATATTCTCTATGCAAGCAAAAAATTTCATTTCTAGTATTTTTTCTTTGTTATTCGATACTTCCGTACGTGTTTTAGTCCCGAAAAATGTTTGTTTTATGCGAAAGAAAGAATAGTAGTTTTTTATTTTTTATTTGATAATCACAGACAAGAAATTAATTCGTAAATGAAATAATGATAATGATATGATAGCGGTCTTGTAACTTAGAGACAAAATATTTCAGTTGAGATGTTTTGACTGTAGTAGGGGAGGGTGGGGTAAAATGGACACTTTAGACTTTTTTAAAATTATTCATAACTCAGAAACAAATTTATCACTTGAGCTCAGTTTAGGCTCGCCACAAAGGGAAAGAATCGTTCTTTCTATTGAAAAAAAATTATTTAATTTTATCCACATTTCAACCCCTCATTATTCCATTAGAAAAAGTTATGTAAAAATTTATATATAGAAATAATTCGTATAGAAATATCCGAACATCATATGGGGAAATCCTGTAGAATTTCTATACGATTTTTTTATACGTGACCCGCAGCTCTATTAGATTTCGAGATACTTATTCAAAACTGGCCGGTGGTTGAAATCAACTTGAAACATTTTACCGCTTCAGTACTGAAATAATAACGAAGTCATTCGACATAATCAACTTAATGAATAGAAGAATAAAATGATTGAATCTTGAATCAAAAAAGAAAAATTCTATAAAGTCTAAAAAATTTCTCGCTCATTCATGTGAAGTTTTCAAATCATTCAATTGAGTTTTGCATCCAAAAGAGTGAAATATGATTGTTAAATGAAAAGAATATATATTCTTGATGCAAGATGTTGAAAGGGAATTTCATGTGCGTGATTTTTTAGGTACGGAAATGTGTGTGCAGACGACAGCAATATAATAACATGCACTTATGATGTCACACGAGGAAAGTCATCATATGGAACTGGTGAGTGGACAAACTGATTTCCCAAGGCCTTTTCCTTAAAAAATAGTTTTATTATTAAATAACATCAACAACTTCATTTGTACAAATATTCTAAGGCATGGGTACTGAGCTTTTATAATTAATATCAAGTCATTAAAAAAATGCAAGACCGAGGTAACAATTCAACATTCTTTAACATTATCAGTATTATCCATAGTCGTCACTAGAGACGAGTAATTGGTAATATTGGCCCCTCAAGGTTTAATCATGGAAGTTGTCACTCGATTCTGAATTCAATAAGTAAAATTGCTGATATACAAATACTGTTGAGTTCATCGCCATTGGCAAGACATTAAGATGAAAAGAAGACATACCAAATTCGTTAAATAAATAGCAATAGGAAATATCACTTGAAAATTGTTAAAACTAGACTGTAAATTCTCTTTTCGTCAATTGTCCCTTGGAAATGGTTAAAATTCTCATGCGATTGTTAAAATATCTCTAAAAAACCTTTTCAAAAGACTTAGTTGTACTCCCTTTTCTCTCCCTAGCCAAAAGCGTTCATTATTTTTCTTGTAAGTTCAAGTCATGAAAAGAAATCAGTGGAAATTAACTGGTTTTGTGAAAAATATCCAAAAATATTTCTTGCAGTTGATAAAATCAAAATGTCTCCTGATGAATTTCTGAACCTAATGAAGTGAGAGATCAATAACCCGAGGAATATTTCTTCCTATAAATTTTTCCAAGCCTCACCTGTTCAAAATTATCAACAAAATAAATCCTTTCATCTCTGGAATAATCTCGCTCTAAAAAAATCTTTTCCAATCCTCGTATGTCAAGTAGTAAGAAAATGTGACTAAAAATTTTATAGTGAGCTGAAAATAGAGAGAAATCTTTTTTGTAGTCCTATAAAATATTCAACAATGTCCTGATGAATTTTCAAAATCAATGAATGGAGAGAAAAATGTTGAAGAATATGCTTGTAGGGAAATCGCCTACAACATTTGTCTCAAGCTCTTCCTTCCAAAAAAATTTGTAAACTGAATTCTCAACTCATCTAATTCCCCCCATAGTTCTTTCACACTTCTTTCATTCCTGAAAAAATCCTCAAAGGGATATTCTTCATGATATGTTGTCCTCGTAGCCTCTCCACGAGGGCTTCGAAGTGAAGATAAATGCAAAAAAAACATTTCCTGACTAAACTCCATCTGCATACCAAGCAGAATCCTCAAATCTCCCTTAAGGCCCGTGTGTATTATCTTTCGAACGCAATCTTGGTTGTTTTTTTTATTTTGGTAATCTGAAATGTTCTTCAATTGCCATTCAGTTTTACATAGCCCTGGAGTCTTCAAAAATTATGATTGTACAATCGAAAAAAAGTCGAAAAAAACTGAACATTTTCAAAGGGTGTTCTTGAATAATATTGGGAAATAAACACAATAGGGAGGAAATTGCAAATTACTGATTTATAGTATCTGATGGCTATTCAGTCGTCGTTTGTCACAATAGCCATTGCCTGTCAGATCGTTAGTTGCCATGATGAATTATCCATTTACAATTTCCTCTCTGTCGGACTTATTTTCTAATCTTTATTAAAAATGCTCTTTGAAAATGTTCAGTTTTGTTTCTACTTGTTTTGATTGCGCAATCATAATTTTTCGGAACACCTACGTGATGTAAAATCCAGTAGAGATTGTGATATATTTTAGATTATGAAGATGGAAAAACAATCGAGATAACGTTCGAAAGATAATCCATTCGGGCCTGAAACCTAAAATCAAGTCCATAAAGAAGTTGGCATCATGCCCTCGACCGTTCCAGCAGCCGGTGTGAGTGTCTCCTCGCACAAAAACCTGAGAGGCAGATCGACCAAGTGTCCCTTGACCCGCCCGAGCATTTCCCTGGCAGTGGTAGGATCAGAATGACAGAGTCCAGCTTCATTCTGATAAGCCTTGAGTGTCGAGAAGTTGGTAGCCTTGTCGGAGGGAATGCAATGGAACACCTCCTCATAGATCTCAGTATTGCTCTGGCTCCTGGCCTTCCAAACCCCAGACCAAAACGAGTGCCTAATAGGATCATCAACAGAGACCCTCTCCTTCGACCACAGGAGCCCCAGGTGCTCCTTGAACAGCTGTTTCCTGAGGCCCCCAGCGAACCTTCCACAAGGATACGACCCCTGATTCATCCTCCCCTCAGTGAACTCCTCGTCATGAATGATGACAGCAATTTCACTGTCCCTACTCGCAATCATGCTCCTGTCATTGATGTTGGCAGACCCACAGATGACAGTCTTATCGTCCACGATCATCAGTTTACTGTGCACATAAATAAGTTCAGTGACCATAGTTCCATTGAGCCTGGAGTGAGTCCTGAGACCGTGAAAGCTGATGTACTCACTGGGATCGTCGATCCCAGCCTCCACCAGCTTATTAAGAATAGCATCCTTCCCCCTGGATATCGATGAATAATTCCAGTGAGTGATTGCATGAAGTGCAGTCCCCGAAGGCCCCCCCACCTCGCCCTCAAACCCCGGCAGCAGTGGCATAACAACGAACACCCTGAACACTGTCCCCTCCCTGTGAGCCCTCAGAATCCTCTTCAGCAGAGTCTCCCCAATTCTATTCTTCACTGTGTGCCTGTCCATAGTAGCCAACGTGATGAAAAACTGGTTCTCAATGTAAATGTACCTCTCAGCCCTGGCAATAGCCTCGATATAAGCCTCGTGAATGCTCTGTTCCAGGGTGTCAGGCTCCAAAAAGCCAGCAGACCAGGAGCTCACAGACCTCAACACCTGGCACTTCACATTCTTCAAACTCCCATCCCCAAACACCTGAGGATTAACAAAGTTGCTGTAGGATTTTGGGAGTAAAAATGGGTAAGTGGCATTCAACTTGGACTTTTCCATTTTTATAGCATTCCAACGTTGAATGAAGTGTCTCGCCACGTCTCTAGCGCTGGCCCCCTGCACCATCACCCCAACATCGTGCCAGGGCATCCTCGGGGTGGTGCTCCTGTCCACGAGATCCTGATAGGGTCTCTCTAAGTCGTAGAAATCTTTGACTATGAAGTTCGTGTAATCCTTCCCCAACCAGAGTTTCGCAGCTCCAGGGAGACCCTTCATGATGTCCTCATTGTTCCTCAGGACTCCCTCAATGTCCACTGGCTCGTGTATAGCTACGTTGTCCACCTCATCCTCATCGTCGCTGCTGGCGATCTCCTGGGGGTTGTAAACCATATTTATCAATTCTTTTCGTTTCATTTTGACGTTCTGCTTGACCCTGTCGACAGTGTTCTTCGCCATGTCGAAGAGGTTTTTCTTCTGAGGGTCTGGGGTGTTGCATTTTCGATGCTCCATTTCTTGTGGGGGTGACAGGAGGGTCGGGTCGAACTTGTGCTGGGGCGGGGGCGAGAGAGACTGGCGTTTGGGGATCGGGAGAAGGGGGAGGCATTTTGTGGTGGCCATGGCTACTGTGTTGGTGGCGATGGCCAGGGAGAGGAGGACGTGACTGTCCGCTGGGGTCTCGATGGTTCGCTTGCTGCTGGTGCTCGTGATCTTTCCTCTCGTTGGGATGTAGATGCTGGACTGGTGGACTGACCCCAGGTCGGTCAGATGGTGCTCGTTGGTGTCCCAGCGACCGTAGCACAGGTCCAGACCTCCTAGGAAAGCCACTGACTGGTCCACCACGACGATTTTCTCGTGGTGCGCCCAGAGGAAGACCCCCACTCGAGCGTGGTCTGGGTGACGGAGGACTTTTATGTTCTCCGGACACTTCTCCACGAGCCTCTGCTTGCTGTAGTAACTGTTTATGCCGAGGGCCAACTCCACCTCTTTGTAGATCATTACGAAGATCTTGACGCCTTCCTGGGCTTTCCGTTGGAGGATCTTGTCCAGGCGCCAGTAGTCCCCGTCGATTATTGGGCGTTTCATGTAGATCTCTGGGGAGAGCCACCAGTCCGCTATGAAGATCTCCTCTTTGGCGGATTCTAGAGCGTCGGCGATCGCCGACATGTAGGAGGAACCGTCGATGAAGAAGTTGGAGGCGGTGTGCGCACGGTAGGGGGCGAAGGATTGGTGAGGGTTCGGCTGGATGAATGGTCTTCCTGAAACAGGGGAGACGGTTTGGTAACACGCTTTTTGAACTCAGGACTAAATCTCCGCGACAAAATTTCCGCAACAAAAGGCCCAAATGAAAAGAAAACTGAAGACAATTTCTCCAGCGATAATTGTATTGTTGACATCTGATATGCCGCCAATTTATTATTGGTACATTATATCTGTCGATAAATTATCCGATACAGTAGAGGCTTCGTATAAGATAGCTTAGGGACAGAGGAGAGTGGAATTCCGGGAACTCCTGTGCCCCCACTACGCGCTCTCATAGAGAGGAGAACAAGAGGGATCAGCGGGTTTCAAGTAAGATACCTCGCTCGTTGCGTTCGGATTCAATGAAATTTTCATTTTTACTTAATGAATATCGATAACTAATCAATTTATATGTGTTTAATGTTTTGAATTTGTATCGGCCTCATTCCCTTTTGTCTCTAAACATAACCCCGCGTGATAGAATGACAGCTGATGTTGGGGGATTGTTGGTGGACTCGAGAATAATCACAGACGAAAAATTACGATTTTTCGATGGGAAAAGTGAAAAAAAGCTATGTATATTTTCATTACTTACAAAAAGTGGTGTGCCCTCCCTTAAGGTCATTAAACCCTCATGATCATTTCGTTGGTCCCTCCCGTTTGACCCTGAACACCGTTGGATCATTATGACTACTCTCTTCTCGTTGAAAAATGACCGGAACCATAGGTATCTTATAAGAAGACCATGGAACATAAACATTCGGGAGGCGATAAAAGTGCCGAGAGTGGGGGTAGGCCTTGAGCGCTCGGCGCGCGAGGTATCTTATAGAGAGGTATCTTATACGAACCCTCTACTGTATTTCATGTGTTTATAATTTCGAATGATAAACAGTAAGTAGCGAGAAATTTCTATTAAAATTTTTCTTACGTGGAGAGCCCCATTTCGCCCCAAGTTTTCAGACATTTAACAATGATTTTATTATGTAAACATTGCAGGCTTGAATTTGAATCTCGATATTGAACCGTTGGAAAACATTTAAAAAATCTGAGAATAATTATAAAGTTTACTGTTGGAAGAAGATTGATGAAATAATGAAAAAATTGTAATTTTCGAAAATTAAGAGCATTATTTTTCTATAAATAATTCATAAACAATCAATTGTCTACCATAAAAATCATTTGTTTGGCATCATAACAAATTTATTCTATTTAGAATTTTACCAGAAATCGATTTCATGCCTAAAAAAATTAGGTTTCCAAAAATTTAGATAATTTCAATTATTTATTTGCAAACAACGAATGTTTAAAAAAATTATAATTCTGTGCCAAATGTAATTTGAATGAGGCTGAATATTCATGATTTTTTTTCAAATTTTTCTCACGCAATTTGATGATTGAAAATGGTTGAATCTACAGTGTGGTCTATACCAAACTGTAAAAAATACTTGGATATCCTTAAAAGTGAGAGGAATCTGTTGAGAATGTCTTTATAAAACAGGCCGTCGTTAATCCATATCTTTTTTTCAACTTCTAATTTAAAACAAAAATAATCGTATCATGAAATTGTTCTAAGATTGAAACAATTCAGAATTTTACCACTAAACTTATAGAGTAATTGGTATTCGATGCATTTCTCGATCTTAATACTTAAATTTATTGGCTAATGTCATAAGAGTATTGTTTAAACCCCATTGTTTTCATCTCACCTTGATTACTCGCTGCCCTCTGTATGAATTCCAGCCACTCCCTGGCCTTTCTACGTGTCCAGCACTTAATCACAATATGCCTGCTTGAATTCATAATTTGCAGTCCATTCCTCAGTCCAGTAGCATACATACCCGAACTCACTTCGAATCCGTTGTCCATCAGTATCACTGACTTGATCTTCCCATCCTTTGGCGTTATGTACGCAACGAAGGTGTCCTTGACCACCAGATGTCTTCGGTGCCACGTGCCACATAATGCTGTGCAGAAGTAGTAGAGTCTTACGCAGCACATGCCTTCAATGAGACCAAAGAAGTTGCATCCTGCTTTCGCACTTGAACCTGTTCGTTTCAGGATTATTCCTTCCTTTCCTTTTCCACCTAGGTCTTCGATGAAAGAGAGGTACGACAGTTCCATAAAGTTAAGCTGAAACATAAAGTCAGTTAATGAATCCATGAGTCAACGATCTGTTGTTTTGGTCTGGAAGGGCTGTGATGAGACAAAAACATGTTCTCAACTAAGTCTCAAACATAATATGTTTGAAATATTTCGTCTTTAAGGTACAGGATTGCTGTCAACTCGTTATTATTATTCCATTTAAGAATTAAGGATATCCAAGTACTTTAGCCATTTTCGCTTCCGAATGGAAGCTTTGCTTTTGACCGATTTTTCGATTTTAGAATTTTGATTACAAATGGTCTAGAATGTTATGAAAGGTGAAGAAATGACGTTTTCGTCATATCTGCCCGGAAAGTTCGATTTTCCTCCCCAAATGACGGGAGGAAACGAGTCAACGATCTGTTGTTTTCGTCTGGCAGGGGTGTGATGAGAGAAAAACATGTTCTCAAGTAACTCTCAAACAAAATATATTTGAAATATTTCGTTTCTAAGGTACAGGATTGCTGTCAACTCGTCATTATTATTCCATTTAAGAATTAAGGATATCCAAGTACTTTAGCCATTTTCGCTTCCAAATGAAATCTTTACTTTTGACCGATTTTTCGATTCTCGAATTTTGATTACAAATGGTCTAGAATGTTATGAAACGTGAAGTAATTAAGTTTTTGTCATATCTGCCCGGAAAGTTCGATTTTCCTTCCCAAATGACGGGAGGAAAGTGCGAGGGGCTATTCACAGACGTAATCGTGGTGTCACTCGCCAATTTTAATCAATTGTAATCCCAGTGAAATCAATGGAATCATTGTAACCACATGATTACCATATTTGTAATCAAGTTTTGGTAATCAAGTGGTAATCATTCGTAATCACTGTAATCATTGGTAATCAGTGTAATCTTCGTAGTTGCTCCTAATGAGACCGTGAATTTTGTTTTTGAATTTTCGAGCGCGTCATTTCTACCAACGGTAAGTCTCAAGGATCCCTGGATCAATTTTTCTTGGAATCCCAGATGTTTATGGTTCAGAACCTTGTATAGCCAAAGCGTTTGGCACAGAGCATTTGTCCGTGGAAAATTGATTCAACAGAGTTAAAATTTGTTCTTATTCTGGAGAACCAATAACTGAATTATTTTTGAATTATCTGCTGGTAAGTTTCATTTTCCATCAATGGTAGATATTCAGTAAATTCATTTTGATGATAGCACTTATAAATCCCCAAATTTTTAGATGGAGTAATGGAGACTGCATTCCTCTGTTCTAATTCCCGCCCCTGCTTCCTCATTTCTTTGCAGGTTCTAATAATTAATTATTCCATCGATTCATATCTAATAAGAGGCCATTTTTAGTGATTTCAATGATTACAGATGTTTGGTAATCACAGAATGTAATCGACGAAATCATTTGTAATCATGTAATCACATTCTGTGCTCTTGGTAATCACGGTTATCACATAGACAATGGTAATCAGTGTAATCAATCCCGTAATTCTGGGTAATCGATTACATTTTGTAATCGCAGTGTCACCCAATTCGCCTGTGAATAGCCCCTCGGAAAAGTGGCTTATTTCATTCCTCGGATTTCTGCTGTTTTTGACGATCCTTGGAATGACAGAACCCACGTTCCTCCCTGCATCTACGGAGAAAAATCGAACTACACCGTGCAGTTGTGACGAAAAATAGTATGTGCACCTAGGAAGCAAAACAAGACATTCAAACCCGCGTGTTTACCGTCCTTGGATTTGCCTCGGGCAGTAATCTACACAGAGAGAAATGTTCAGTAAAAATGGAACTCACAATTCGCTCAACGATTATGAAATCGACTCAGAAAATTTAAGTGATGGTATCGTAATTTTTCACAGGAGATTCAGATCAAAATTATGGAACGCGCTGGAAAAATTCCGTGACAGTTCTGTAAAATTTCCTACAACCACAGTTCGCTCCGGAATTATGGAAAAGACACGTAATTTTTACTTATTTATTATGGCTTCCGGATGGATGCCGCGTCTAGATTCAGCTTTTTGCCGACGTTTCGCAAACATTTCAGTCTGCATCATCAGGGCTTGGTCGCTCCGATGTCATAATAAATAATAACGTTGGCCGCGAACGCCTCAAAACTCGTACGTAATTTTTATTGAATATTTCTCTCCGTGTACACGCGGCTTGAAATGTTTTGTTTTCCTCCCTTGGTGCACAACCTACTAAAAAATTTTTCTTCTCGTATACCCTTTCGGGTCTTTACGATTTGTTCCCTTCCCACCCCCCCTCCACCCCCTGTACCGCATTTGCCGAAGGGAGGGAAAACCTTATTCGAGGGAAAAACCTGCCCTGGTACAGTCGTCCTTTTTGACGGGACTACCGCTCGGCAGTGAAACTGTGAGATTAGAGCGCTCTAACCGCACGGCCACTACCGTCGGTCACAATCTACTATTTTACGGTCATGTCTGTATGTATGGATCCGACAACTTGGGTTTTTGGTGATTAATTTTGAAAAAACTCAACATAAATACGGTGAAATTTGTAGATAAAAATCTGAAATTTTGGCTCATTGCAGCTGTTACTGAGCTCAACTTTCGCGCGCTGTTTCAGTCCGATCGGTCCAGTAGTTCTTGAGATATAACAACTTATTTAAATTTCGTTTTTCCTCAATATTTCAAAAACTACTGCATCGATTTCAATTTTTTTTTTCAAAATACTCATCTCAATGGCCTCTATGTGGGTCAATCAGCATAGATAGACTCTTTAATAGACAGTTTCGAGACATTACCATTTTTATTTTTTCATGAAAAATCTTGTACGCACGATAACTTGAGAAACAAAGGAGATAGATTGAGGTGATTAGCAAATCTGATCAAATTGCGGTTTAACCAGACTTCTTGTCTATAAAACTCCTGTGACGGTTACGATCCAAGAAATCCACTTTTAATTCAACATATTCAGTGTTCTTGATTCCACCTGTGCCACGTGGGATGGCACAGGTTCGATTCTTGAGTGAGGTTGAGTACTTCGAGATTTGATGATTAAGAGGTTTTTTTTGAAGGAAAGAAAAAAAAAATTACCAATTATCTGTCAGTGGTCAGTGTTGCCCTAGGGAGCCGTTTTGCCCTACCCTCCCCTATAGAAATTCGTATACGTGAAAGAACATATTGATTCCAATCGACTTAATAAACTGCGATGAGTCATACAAAATCTATCGAATTGTCAGGCGCGCGGAGCGCGTCTTCGATCTCGTGACGCAAAAAGTAACGGTCACATGTCTTCTGTCGAAAGGTTCGAGGCCCTGCTCGTTTTCCCTTTGAATTAGTCTCTTAGTTTTTCAGACTGAAGGAATAATTTGAGAACTTACTGTTTCTGCATGACGTTTGTAAATCTCAATCCTCAATAAATTAGTTAAGTAATCCTCCAATTCTTTCATTCGATGACTAACGAGTTCGGATGGGAGGAGTGCATCAGGTCTGTTCGGAAATCTGAAATAAGAATTGCGTATAAATACCACAAAGTCTTGGATGGAGAATATCTAGTGTTGATGGGTGTCAGAAAAAGTCGAAAGCTGTATTAAGGATAATCGGGCGAGCCCGGAGGTTTAGAAAAAAACAGCCATTTTTTTACGTATTCTTTAAATGATGGAAAAGGCATGTGCAAAGTTTCAGACTGGGGAGCATGGTTAATTTATTATGAATTTTTGAAAAAGTGGTTATTCAACCTGTGATCTTATAGAAATCACAAAAAGAACTGCAAAACTCAAGGAAAAAAAGCAGCCAAAGTCATGAAACTTTAGACACATTTAGAACATGTGATCAATGATTTTTTGAGTGAAAAAGATTCTCGCCCGGAAGCATTGTTTATTAATAATAGCGAAAAAAGTACTGAAAAATGAAATTTCTGCGCACGCAGCCCGAACGAGCAGCAACGTCTCAAGTACCGATCGGGTGGGGGTAGCGCGGTCAATTTAAACGTCTCTTGAGAGAGAGCGATGAAGCGCTGGGATTGGAGCTCCTTCGAACCAGTGGTACCAGCTCCTCGTGAAAAAAAAAAACACTACCTACGATGTTGCCACTTTTTCGCATGGATTAATATTTTTTGATTGATTAAAAAAAAAACAATCTGAAAACCATTCAATGCGTGGAACAGATACAAATAAATTTGATTAGCTCCAAAAATAATTTTTAACCGGAGATACTCTCTAATATTGCCTGAATTTTGAATTCGAATGGGAAAAATTTTTTTGCTCAGCGATTGGTTTTCTGCAGGAAAACAATAGAAACCCCATCGTCTCACCTCCTACATTTCCTCCTCACCCGATTATCCTTAATGTACCAATGTGACCGTTTGCGGAAATTGTGAAGAAAAATTATGTTCGTCACTCGATCAAAAAACTTTTTTTGATTCGTGTGATTGCATTCCTCGGCTTCGTCTCGGTCTGCAAACCTCCCATTCGTCAGAAGTTTTTTAGTTATTAAGTTTTTAAGTCATTTTTCCGTACTGATCTTTACTTTTCCTCGTCCGGGGATTGGTATTGACCCTTCCCCAAACTCATAAAACTGAAAATCACTACGGAAAAATATCGTTCACGAGCACTGTGCCATGGGGTTTTTTTACTCGTGTGCATAGAGAGAAATATTCAATAAAAAAGACGTAGCTTTTCCGTAATTCCGGAGCGAAATGTGGGTGTAGAAAATTTTACCGAACTGTCACGAAATTTTTCCAGAGCGTTCCGTGATTTTTACCTGAATCTCATGTGAAAAATTACGATACCGTCACTTAAATTTTTTGAGTCGATTCCGTAATCGGTGAGCGAACTGTGAGTTCTGTAATTTTTACAGAACATTTCTCTCCGTGTGGATGGCCTCCGAGCCGTAGGCGAGGACGGGCCAACCACACGAGTAAAAAAACCCCATCGCAACAGCCCAGGAACAATATTTTTCTGTAGTAATTTTCAAGTTTTCGAGTTTGGGAAGTATGTAATACCAATTCCCAGACGAGAAATCGTGAGAAGCAGTACAGAAACTATTTGGGCCTGGTGACGAAAACAGGGATCCCCATCAATATTAAATTTCTGTAATATTACAAGAATTTGACCCTTACATGACTGAAAGTTTTAAATATATTCATTAAATTTTTCAAATAATATAATATTAATAATCCGATTTTTTTACGAATAATGATATACTTAAAATTTGTTAATATGAAACTGTAAATTTACTACTAAATGAATAATTCAAATTTCTTGAAAGGGGATTTTCGACTACACAAGTAATCGTCAATCTTCCTACCTAAAATTATTGATTGATAAAATAGTTGAAAATTTGAATATTTGAATTGATGATACTTAAGTACTCAATAAATTTCAAGAGTGATGTTATCTAATTAAGGGCTGCAATATTAACCGTAATAAAATATTACAAATTTGGCTATCCCTGGCCGAAAATAGCTATTTTTCACACCTATCGTAGTATACTATTATTTCTTATCCATCTGATGATCGGTCATCTCCAGAAGGGTTCGGGGATATCTTCAGATTGTACATCGAAAGAGTTTCGAAGGGGAGAAATACGCATCAATATATAAAGTCAATATGACAATTGCCTCGTGTTTGACTCAACCGTCCAGGATATTCTGAGAATAATGCGTTTTTTATAAGATTCACTTCAATATTTTTTGCTGCACCGTCTCTATTTATTCACTTGTTCAAATACCTTGGCAAAGCTCCTCTGCACTTCCTCTTCTTATTCTCCTCCAAATTCTTCAGACTATTCCTTCTCTCTCGATGGCTCCTCGTAGGAAATGGAATATTCAGACTAGCTCTGTACAATTTCAACTGGTTATGCAAATGCTGAATGTGTTTGTACCTCTTCTTAACTGTCCAAACAAATGGCCCATGCTTAAACTCAATTGTGTATAAATTTGGGTTGATGGGGTGTGTGGTAACACTCCTTTCATTTTCGATGATGTTCACTCGAATCTCTTCACCACGTATAAAAATATTTGTGTTAGGGTTCTTAAATTTAACTGCTGGTGCATGAATCGAGGAGAATGGAATGATTTTTCGTTGGTGCTTGTTGAGGTGATCATCAGTTATGTCTGGGAGATTTATCGTTTCTCCATTCTCGATTATCGTGATGTCGAGGGAGTCTGGGACTCCGAGTTCATCATCGTACTCAGAGTCGTGGGACAGACCAGTGTCCTCACTTATTTCTCTATTTAGCGTTACGTTTGTTTCTTCAGGGGCTGCTACCGTCGGCATTGTAATGAGTTTATTTCGTTGTTTGGCTTTAGCCTAAAAATGTTTCGTCATCTGGAGAATAACTAAATTGAGGAAAATATGGCTATAAAACTGTTGAAAATTATCTATACTCCTTGGAAATTTCTATCAAATCATAGTTCCACTGAAATTTAAGGGAATTTCGTAATTGAAAGCTCACAATTTCTTGAAAAAAATAAATGGAAACTGTTCACTGAGAAAACAAGTCGATAATGAGTTCCCAGAGGCAAAAATAATCGATAAAATTATGATGTGATTTTTCAGAGATAAGATTTTTGAATGAATTACTCTATACCAGGATGTATTGAATCGATCAACACAAAATTTTATACACAGGTGTGATTCAATAATGCTAATTAGTAGCTAGAATCTCAGATGTTTATTCCAAGTTTTGCGTGGATTATGGAACGCCACATTAATTTTGAAATTAAAAAATTAAACAAACGCGAATATCTCGAAAACTTTGTATGAATGAGTATTCATATTTTGATTGATGTTGATAGGGGGCGATAAGACGAGTATTTTGACAAAAAATAAAAATAATCGGACCAGTAGTTTGGGAGATATTGAACAAGACATTTTTTCACAAAAAATTGAATATCTTCTAAACCACTTGTCCGATTTCGTCTATCCACAATCCTATCCTGCAATACTATAAGAGCTACAATCTCACCAAATTTCAATCCCCTATTTAAATATTTTTGGGAGTTATCGTGCAGAAAACGATTTTCTCATAAAAATGAAAAATGCCGATTATTACTAAAATGTCCCTAGTTACATAGCAGTATTGTGATTTGATTTGATGGATATTATCACAAGAAATATTTTGGCGTCTAAAAAATTCAATTCAGTCACGTAGTTTTCGAGATATTAAGGAAAAAAAATTTGTGAGAAATTGCTGTGAAATTGCGGCCCGAAGTGCGAAAGTAATACCAATTACGAAAACCAAAATCAACCTTCAACCTTCAACCTTTGGTTTTACGAAATTTCAGAGTTTGAGCTCCAACTGTAGTCCTTTTTCTGTGAAAACTCACTAAAATATTCTGAAAAATTCTGAAATTCTGAAATATTGTCACGTTTCATGATATTCTACGTCATTTCCAGGCAAAATTAGAAGATCGTCAAAATCAACTATTGCAAAGCTTCCACTCGGAAGCAAAAACACTGATAAAAAACGTGTTTACTTATGGCTGAATTAAGCCCAGAATAATAATCTATTAATAATGCGAAAAAAAGAAAAATTTTTGAGAATTCTGAGAGGATTTTTTTGAGAATTCTGTTTTTATGAATTATTTCTTTGTGTCAAGAAATTCATGGCTCGAAAATGGACAAGAAAAAAATATCTTATACAGAGAAGAAAAAACTTTCATCAAGAGATTTTATACTTGAGTTTTTGTCCGTAAGATGAGGCATAATTCAGTAGCGAAAATGTAAAACGGTACAAGTCAATTTTTAATATTGATCAATTTTCAATGAATATCTCAGAATCTAAGGGAGATAGCAAAATTGTTGTTATAACCTTTTTTGTAGAGCCGATTGAGTGCTACAACAAACGTAATTACGAAAATTTCGTTATCTCCCTTAGATTCGGAAATATTCTTCAAAATGTCACCTGGGAGATAAGTCGACTTAAACCGTTTTGCCACTTCGCTATTGAATTAGATCACAACCAGAAAGCGATTTCTCGAACCAAGTCAAGTAGTTTTTGCATTAAAATATTTAAATTTGAGACTAAAAAACTATTGAATGAATTGATTCAACTAGATTTCGTTTGAGAAATCACTTTGTTGTCATGAAAAATTTATCCTCGTCTTTGGGTCAAGTGCAAAATCTCTCGACGACAGTTCATTTTTTCTCAGTGTAAAATATTGTTTGCTTGTCAATTTTCGAACTATGAGTTTCTTAATTCAATTTTTTCATGAAAACTAATCGAAATTAGGCACAATCTAGGTAAATATATTCTTGAATTCTAAATGGATTGACATTCTGTGTAATTCGGTAGTGAATATTCATGTTTTGATTGAAAATTCAAGTGTATGTCGGAGAATTCTCATCTGTTGCTTAATAATTTGGAACTTCCTTGAATTTTCAGTAAAATTTTAAATTACACGATTTTGTCGGGACAAAATTTAATTCAATCTCGTTCTTCTAAAAGTTATTACGAAATGCTCCACGTAATTACAATTTCTTCCTAACAGTATATAGTAAAGTAGTTCGATTTATAAGATGAAAATATTCTCCAATTTTTCGGAGAGACTTTTTTCAAGGACAAAGCCTCAAGGGTCCTTTGGATAGTCAATTTTATGGGCTACAACAAAAGGTTTTCTAATGTTATATCTCAAAATCTTGGATAATCGCTCAATCAACAAAGACTAGATAAGACTCTGACGATTTCACTTTTGTTACCGGCTTCAGTTGAAAAATATTTTGACATAACGACTTCGGAAAATCTTCGGAAAATGTTTTCATAACAAAATCAACTTGATAACAAAGATTAATAATTATTTGAAAGATTTGTGAAATCTCAGAAACAATTTGAAGGGGAATGATTTGATTTGATTTGATTAAGGGGAGATCGCACTAAAATTTCGAAATTGCTGGTGCCTTCACCGGTCGTGCTGATGAGTTTACTACTTCAGTTCTAATGTAAAAAAGTACGAAAAAATGAGATTTTGATTTTTTAATATTTGTGTTCTTTTAACGTCGTTTCGTTCTTAGACAATTTTTTCCATCCAAATTTCAGCCAATAGATTTGCACCATTCGATGGTATTTTGCACAGCGTACAGTGTATGCAACTGATAATTCTTTATGTTGTTTATAAATAAAAAACAAAAGGTCAAAAAACAAAGTTTCTATCTGTGAACTGCGAATTTCGTTTTATAACGCAATTGTCTTGGTCAAAATTTTGATGGGAAAATTATCGTTGTACCTTGTGGCTATTGGATTTACGAGAAGACTGTTGAGAATTTTTGACTGAAATTGATGGTACATTTCTTGGAATTCAGCGCCATTTAGATAGTTATATTCTTGAATTTTCAATCTATTTCACACCAAAAATTCATGTTTTGATAAAAAATTCAAGTGAGTTGATGAACTTTCGTTTTCCTGTTGCTCAAAAATCTAGAATTTTCAATTAAATTTGAAATTTAATTATTTTTCCCTCCAAATGGTACTCAATAGCTCTTTCCTGAAAATTGCTACTGAACTTTCCATGAAATTTCATTTCTTCTCTAATAGTCCAGTTGGAATTTTAATATTTGTGTAGTTTGTACTAGAATTATTGCAATTCAATATTTTGAAATATCCCAATAGTAAACGAACTCAATGTTTCAAGTAAAAATGTTAAAGAAAAATTGTAATTTTACTGGGAATATTAAAATTTCTAGAATCATTGCATTTTTTGTTTCAAAAATTTGTAAAAATTTAGGAGTGATTTTTGACAATTTTTTCAAATTTTTCAATGAAAAAAAAATTCCCTTCACTTTTAAGACTAAAGGAGTACTCTTCACTAATTTTTTTTGTTTGAAATTTTGCTAACAATCCTAAACAATAATTTGTAATTCATTTTTTTTTTAATTTTGTTTTCCTGTGGCTCAAAAATCTGGAACTCCTTTGAATTTTCAATTAAATTTGAAATTTCATTACTTTTCTCCTCTAAATGGCACTCAATAGCTCTTTCCTGAAAATTACTACTGAACTTTCCCTAAAACTTCAGTTTTTTCTAACACTATAGTTACAATTTAAATATTTATGTAAATTTCGTACTAGAGTTATTGCAATCCACTATTTTGAAGTATTCGAATGATACATAAACTCAATATTTCAAGTAGAAATTATAATATTTTTTGATATTTTTACTTGGAATATTAGAATTCGTAGATTCGTTTTTTTTGTTAGAAAATTTATAAAAATATACGAGTGATTTTCGAAGATGTTTTTTCAAATTCTTCAATAAAAAATGAAAAATTTCCTCATTTTCAAAACTGAAGGGGTAATAAGTAGGGGACAATGAGGTAAAATGGACACTGTTTACTTTTTCTCAAATGCTACTGACTTATTGAATCGTTAATAAAATTGTATCATTTTTTTTCAATAAAAAGGGCAATTCTTCCCCCTTGTGATGAGCCTAAACTGTGCTCAGTTGATAAATATATTTATGAGTTATGAATATTTTTAAAAAAGTGAAAGGTGTCCATTTTACCCCACCCTCCCCTCCTCTTCATTGAGTTTTTTATCTAAAATTTGCCTGCCAATCCCCAACAATACTTTGTGATTCATATTTAAAAAAATTTCGTTTCCCTGTTATTTCAAGATCTAAAATTTCATTTAATTTTCAGTGAAATTGGAAATTTCATAATTTTCCCCTCTCCCCCCGAGTCGAGTTTAAATCGTGAACATTACTACTGAACAATTCATGAAATTTCAAATATCCCATGAGATTTTTTAAATGGAGAATCTTCCCAATATCAGAAAAAATGACAGAAAAATTTCAATCCTCGTGGTTCCCAGGACCTTTAAAATTTCAAAAATACCCCATAAATTCATCACGCTGTAAACCACCTCAAATGATCCTCTCATCAACGACAATCAAAACAATAGTCACGACTCGTCTCATGAATCCTCACTCAATCATCATGACCACCGACAACTTCATTACTAATAACTCGATTCTTTTGTAACACCATAAGACATTTCATAAAAATCCTTGAAAACTGAACACAATGCACTGAATGTTTTTTTATATCCTTGAGATTGAGGTCACTGTGACGTGCACGTGAAAATATGAGGGTTTACGTCAACTTGAAATTCGTCATAAGTTCTCGTAATATTAATTAAAGACAAAGAACTCATCACATCACAATCAACTTGAGTCTGAAATCTTCCTTTGATTGAAGAATTGAAAAGGATACAATTTAAAAAATCCAGAGGCACTATTGTCTTCAGCTGTTGCAGCATAACTCAGTTTTACGTTAAGGTTATGTCTGGAGTAATTCCAACGATGCAAAATCACCCCCCGAAGTGTCTATTTCTATCTATGATAAAAAAAGTTGAGATAAGGAAGCACGGACGTTTGTGTCACATTGTCACTGGAGAGCTGTTAATTGGTAAGGTCTACGCGCTCAGACTGATTCACAGCCTGACACTTCATTTGATTCGTTCAACCCGCTTGATCATCTCGTGTGTTAAACAGGCATTTAACAGCCGAAAACCTACGGACTTATCCGAACGCTCGCGAGTGTCGGGCGACTGAGTCGAGCCCTAGGTCGTGTGATCATCTAGACTCAGATACTTAGATAACGCCGAAACATGTAACACCCTACTTTAGAAAGAGACAATATCTATGCGCGCGCTCTCGCGCGCGCTGATCTATTTGTTGAAATGAAGAAATGGAATTCATTGAATTTAATTTTCTCATTAATACCTTATAAATATTGATAATGAATCAAAAAGAATTCGACTAATGATTGAAGTGAATAGCGAAGTAGAGTAAAAGAATCTATAAAGAATTTTTCATTTTCAATTAATTATCTTCATTTTTTTAAATAATCGGTCTCCATAAAAGGATAGAATTCATTAATTTCATCGATGATATACATCCATGTGAAATATACATATATTATATATATATTATATATATGACGTGAAAAAAAACTTTACCACTGAAGAATTTGAAATTATGTCACTGAAGAATTTGAAAATGCCACGTGTTTTTTTTGTGAATAACTTCGTGTCACATATTGACCAATCAGAATTAAAGATTAGCGGTCAGGCAGTTTCGAGATATTTCGATATAAAACAACTTCACGTTTCTTTCATCTTTAGTAAATAGGATCTATTCATTTATTGAAATGAAGAAATGGAATTCATTGAATTTCATTTTCTCATGAATACCTTATAAATATTGATAATGAATCAAAAAGAATTCGACTAATGATTGAAGTGAATAGCGAAGTAGAGTAAAAGAATCTATAAAGAATTTTTCATTTTCAATTAATTATCGCCATTTTTTTTAAATAATCGGTCTCCATAAAAGGACAGAATTTATAAATTTCACCGATGATATATACACATGTGAAATATATATGTATATATATGACGTGAAAAAAAAATTTACCACTGAAGAATTTGAAATTATGTCACTGAAGAATTTGAAAATGCCACGTGTTTTTTCTTGTGAATAATTTCGTGTCGCATATTGACCAATCAGAATTAAGGATTCAGTTTCGAGATATTTCGATATAAAACAACTTCACGTTTCTTGCATCTTTACTAAATAGGAAAATACAAATACGAGAAGATTTCAAAGTATTACGCTGAGGAAAGAATAGCGGAGTTGTTGAACATGGAAAAAAAAAACCTAATTCAAGTATATAATTTTAATTGTTCGTTAAATCTCGCTTCGCTCGATTAGATCGCAGTTTATCGGGCCTAATGACATAAATTCAATTTTTAGACCTTGTCCGTACTGGAGATACAAATGCCTCACATGACCCGTCATATTACTCTGTCATGTGACCGTCATTGACTGTCACATAACGAGTCATTTATGGCGGCTGTCACAATTCCCCTCCCGCTGCTGTATGATCGTCACAATCTTCCAAAAAATATGACAATCATATATGACCTCGCTTCGCTCGATTAGATCGCAGTTTATCGGGCTCAATGACATAAAATATTGTATGCCACAAGGCGATAAAAGTATTATCTGACGAACGTGATTATAATTATAACGCCGCATTCGCCCGATAATACTTTTATCGCCTTGTGGCATACAATATTTTATGTCATAAAATTATTATTACAATAATAATAACAATAATAATTAATTATTATTATTAATTATTATTAATAATATTAATTATTATTATTAATTATTATTATTGTTTGTGTTATATCGATCTATTATGATCCAAAAAGTCCGAAATAGTAGATTATGTCATTAGGCGATAAAAGTATTTATCGCCTAATGACATAATCTACTGTTTCGGACTTTTTGGATCATAATACATCGATATAACACAAACAATCCAAAATTTAAATTTGAACGATTACAAAGCTTCCATTCAGAAGCAAAAATGGTGGGAAATATCCTGATTGATCTTCGGAGTTTATTCATTCGGGGGAATGTTGATCCTGATACTTTACGCTCCCTTCGAATTGTATTTTTTTGTGTTTATCTATAGTCAGATGCAAGATTTTCTGAACCCATCTAGTTATTTCAGTCTAGATAATTATAAGATCTGTATCTGAGATGGGCGATCTTGATAAGGTAGGAATCTATGTTTTTCGAATTGTTTGTTTTGTCTTGATTTATTTTATCAGATTTCTACTTTCATTGTTTCGATTTCTTGGATCATGAGGTGATGATTGTATTCATCATGTTGTGATTAATAATATGGAAAAATTAGAAATGGGGGAAATGAATTGTTGAGGTTTCTGGGTCACGATTGAAAGGCCTCGTTTAACTTTTTTCGTCGTTGATGCGAGACACTTGTAATGAGCAATGCAACCTAGAATGAGATTTGAATTAGGTAGGGAAATTTCATGGTTTATGTGGGAGTTTGTAATTTAGTAATTGTGGAGGATTAGGATCATTAAGAGCGCGATTCGAGGTCTGGGGGAAATACGCGGTTGTTGGGGTTTTTGTAATGTGGTGCAAGTATGAATCAGAAGTGAATGGCGGTGATTAGGGCATTATCTTGGGTGATTGAGACTGATAAGGGGAATAAGAAGACTACAATCAATTTCGTGGAAATTTTCATTATTAGAATTGCGTTTTGGAGGAATTTATCGACTGATTTGACGTCACAGAGAGAAAAAAACTCTGGTTCCTAGAACCAGAATTTTTACTTATTTTCAGAAACTTATGGTTTTAAGGTATACCCGTAAAAACAGGTTTCTCTGACGATTGCTCCTATAATTTTTACAGATAATGTTTATAATATTCTCCAGCTATTGAAACAAGATGAATATTTTGGAAAAAAAAATTGAAATCGGTTGAATAATTTTTTCGATATTCAAGAAAATAGATTTAGATACAAACGTGAATATCCCCTCAACTAACCATCCGATTTAGCCCATTTTCAATAGGAAACATTCTGGCACAAAACGGAAACTTCATCCCAAATTTCAAATTAATATGTCAATTTTTGTAAAAGTGTGAATGCTAACAAAGATTTGAAGTCAAAAACCGACAAATGGAAATGTCTGGGAAACTTTGTATGAGCGGGTATATATATTTTGATTAATTAAGATGCCATCGAGACGAATATTTTATGAAAGAAATTGAAATCGGTTGAGTAGTTTTTGAGATGTTTGCGAAAAACGATTTGGAAACAAATGGCGAGTAAAATACGTTTCTATTAAGATTGTAATTTACGATTTGTTAAGCGTGAAATACGCTTAGTGAAACGTAAAGAACGCTTTGTTTGGGCGTAATTTACGTTTTTATTTTTTACCGTAAAATAGGTTTTTTTAAAGCCTCAGGGTGACTGCCCAGGGAACGGAATTTATACGGATACGCATCTACGTACACCAATCAGAGGCAAGCCAATAAAATTGACGGGGAAATCGTATGTGCTAATTGATTATACGGATGCGTGCCCCTAAATTACGATTTTCATACCTGAAAAACCACCAGACATCATATCAGTAGCGAAGTGGTAAAAGGAGATAAGTCAATTTTGACTATTGACCAGTTTTCAATTAATATCTCGGAATCTAAGGGAGATAGAAAAATTTCTGTTATAACCTTTTTTGTTGATCCAATTGAGTGCTACAATAAATGTAATTACGAAAATTTCGCTATCTCCCTTAGATTCGGAAATATTCCTCAAAAACTCAACTGGGAGATAAGTCGACTTATCTTCGTTTACCACTTCACTACTGATATTGGCGTTAAGCGTATGAGGAAAAAAATAGACTTGAATTGAGTATATTTTATACTAGAATTCTATTCTAAAAGGAACATACACTTAAAGTCGATAACTATCGATATCTCGCAAGTCTGTCACGCTTATTCCTCATTGGTTCCAGTCGTCTGAGGCGGCAAATTTAATTCATGATTAATTCAGTAGCGAAGTGGTAAACTGGTATAAGTCGATTTTGACTATTGACCAGTTTTCAATAAATATCTCGAAATATAAGAGAAATAGCGAAATTGTTGTGATTTCCTCTTTTGTAGCTCTCAATTTGCTCTACAAAAAAGGTTATTACAGCAATTTTGCTATTTCCCTTAGATTTTAAGATATTCATTGAAAACTGGGCAATAGTCAAAATCAACGTATACCGGTTTACCACTTCACTACTGAATTTAATTTTGAGATTTACAATTATGATTGTTACAATTACAGCGCGCGTTCGGTCTCGTTAAGTAGATATATAAACCTGATTCGAGTATATAATATACTAGATTCAAGTATATTTTATTATACTCAAAAGGGGGGATGGGTGTTTTAATTCGAGGATGATTATTCTGCATCAGCCCAGGTAGTTCCAAGGGCTCTCAAGTGTAATATAAGGGTCAGACACTAAGTGTGAGAATATAGGGGTCAAAAAGTGGAGATTAAGAAATGAGGGTTGGAATATTAGAGTCAAAAGCTGCGGACCTGAATGTAAAGGTGAAGGAATGAGGGTCAGAATGTTAGGGTTAAAAGAAGCGAGTCAGAATATTAGGATAAAAAAATTAGGGTCAGAATATAAAAGTGAAAAAAGTGGGTGTCAGGCAATGAGGGTCATATAAGGGCTAAAAACGGTGATCAAGCATAATATATCACTTATATTTAGACTCTCATTGCTTGCCCCCCACTTTTTTTACTTTTATGTTCTGACCCTAATGTTTTAACCGTAATATTCTGACCCTCATTTGTTAACGTCCACTTTTTGACCCTCACATTCTGACACTTAGTGCCTGACCCTTATATTACACTTAAGAGGGCTTGCTACATCCCGGCGTAATACAAAAGATCTTCGAATTGAAATACCCATTCCCTAATTGAGTATAAAATATACTTGAATCAAATATATTTTATACTCAATTCAAGTACATTTTTTTGCCGTGTAACTTGCATTTAGCAAAGCATAAATTACGCTTAGCAAAATATAATATCCGTATAGGTTTTTCTGTGCGTATGCAATCGGC